TAAGCTAAACCAAGTGACACTGGGCCCTCTCCTTATTCCACATACGCTCTTTCTGCGTTTACCGGAAGTTTCAAGTTTCCCGCATACAATATTCCCAACTTCCGTTCTGAAGAAAAGGCGAGAGTACATCCCCGGGGGAGAGATACTCTTGGCAGTCCTGGTTGGGCCTGGCATAACATTTGACTCGCCCCATGTAAGGGAATGCATATTTCGGAATCCGAGAAATTTTTGCTCGTAAAATCAGGAATCCTACGAACTGGAATCCGGAATACAGCACATGGAATCCGGAATCCTACTAAAGATTGGAATTCAGAATCCAAGTTTCACTAACAGTCTGGAATCTAGTACCTGGAATCCGGAATCCGAGGCGTGGAATCCAGAATCCAAGACTGTCTTGGATTCCCTTACATGTGACGATTTGACCTTCTGAACATACAGTTGTATAGTTTTCGCCTTTTCATTTCGGACCAAAATGGGTGATTTTTCCCGCAAAATTCTGGGCCTGATCTCTATAAAGAGTCACATTTTTGAAATGAAACGGCCCAATCAAAACATATGGATCAAACAAGCTTATACAGATGGGACACCGCTCACTTTACTCTGGTGCTTATACGAGAGTAACTCCTTTGCGACGTGGAGGCCATGTAACTGCAGCGGAATTTTGATTAAAACAGATTACGGCAGAGTGGACAAGTGGCATTGTTGCTTGTGCTAAACCATTTGTATAGACAGGCCGAGTGGAACTTTTTCTTGCAAGTCTTGCAACTTAGCTTGGGAAGAGAGTAGTTACTGCCATGAATCACGGAAAAACATATCATACAGTCATCAACGCCCTCGAAACGTTTGTCCACGTTCCGTTTCCACAAAATGAGTCCATCCATGATACTGCCATTCTAAAAAAGATACAAAACAACGGTCAAATTACACCACTGGTGCTCAAAATGGTATTAGAAAAGAAGACCTATTAGGAAATTCATTGTCGAGCGAAGGAGAGTTCAGCAAAGAAAAGGAGACAAGTTAGACTTTTGTTGGTTCACATTTTAACTTGAGCAGAACAGAACGCTATTAGACGGACAAAGGTCCACTGCAATTAATAAAAATATGCGGCTTCCCCTTAAAAGATCTGAACAGGTTAACAAACATACGACAAAACCGATTTCAATGCCTAAATATGCTCTTAAACAACAAAACTGGAAAATTAGTTTTGGAATTCAATTGATTCGAAGACACGTAAAGAGAAGCTTAAAAAAAAAAGAGACAACTATAGCGTGACATAGCAGATCTATAGCGTTACATAGCAGAACTATAGTGTGACATAGCCCTTTAACTAAACTTCGAACGGAAGGTCGTCGAAGGGGAGTGAATAACAGTAGACAAAAAACAACACATTCATCTCTCCTCGACTTCTCTTACTGTTGCCAGCTCTAGAACGCTAGAGTCCGATTTCAAACCTGATGGGTGAGAAACGTTGTCATTTGTAGCATCCAGCTTCTCCATTGCGCATTCGCAACTCCAATTTTTCTTCCACTCTCGACTGAGACTACGCCCAGAGGGTGGTTTGGGGCCAGTTTCACTACCAGCTCCATTGACATATCCTCGACCGTGTACACCGCGGCAACTTCCCGAGCACTGGGCCGAGCCTTAACCAGCATGTTGTCAAACCGGATTGACGAGTTTTGAACCAATTGCATTTCTCTCTGGCATAACTGAGGAGTGATGACGGAGGTTGTGAATCTAAGTGAACACAAAAGAAAAAATTTTTAAGAAGAGTGTTATCTTTGCAGCTGTCTTTGCAATTTTAAGCAATTGCAAATTAACCCCCAAAAAAGTCCCGGGCCTGCAACGGGATTCGAACCCATAGCCTCTGCGATAGCGCTTTATTCCTGTGCCAACTGAGCTATAAAGACCCATACATTAGGAGTGGGCCAATTTGATGAGTTCATCTTAACCCGTGAAAGAAATGAACCATTAAAAGATCAAAGAAACAGTTAACAACATGTTTTTCTAAATATCACGACTAACATCAGTTTAAAAAGTGGTTATGGAAAGTACATGCAACACGACTGTAGCTAAACAGTAAGAACAGATAAAAATCACTTACTTATCCACTATGGCAGATTGACGCTTATCCAGACCATTCCACCACTGCCTAACAATAGCCGGCATCCACTGCAGTAAGGAATAAGACACACTACACGCCAGCTCCTGAATGGTACGCTGACCACCAAAACGTCCTATCACTGGCTCGCAGTCGTCTGCTAACGTCGCCCCGGTCGCCTTCAGTGGCATCAGCCGAAACAACACACCAAGAAGACTGTCTACCATTTTGTTTTGCCTGATGTACTTGGCATACTCCACTCGTTTTTCTTGAGGTAAGCTTCTAAAGAAATGCAAAAGAACCTTCCAGGCAAGCAGGAGAGCAAGGCTGACATTTTGTGCCTCTCTGTCGCCTGCCATATCAAGATGTTCACCAAAGGGAACTTGAGCTTCACGCAACATCTCCGCTATGCGTGCGCTGGTCGAATTAATCAGCTCTATTAGAGGAGTAGGTGGGGACCTGAGTATGAAACAGCCATAGCGTTATACTCCATACAAACGATCGAACAAAGGATTTACATGTACTCCGAGAACATAAGAATATACTCAGACACCATACGCATCATATGTAGTACTCGGCACAACATTAATGTCTGGCTTTCATAACTCTTCGCCGTGATTTGCCACTGCAATCACCTACAAACCGCTCCAGTCTAGACTTGTAGCTCAGTCGACAGGGCAACGATAGATCTGATCCAGAGGTCCCCACCGACGTTAGTTAAAATACTCTTTTTGTTTCTCTCAGGGATGATCTTTAGCACTAACAATTTCTACTCAGAGTTAATTATCTCTTCCTGTTTTGGTACACCACGATTAATATATCCTCCGTACAGTGATATCATTTGCCCCGTGCATAGGTTGTATTATGTACAACAAAATACCTTATTGGTTCATCTTCACTTTCTTCCGACTCACTCACATTTTCCTCCAGTGTTGCAATATCCGGCATTACTCTGTAAAAATTAATAACATAACATAGCAGATAAGTTAAGTGGGTACCAGACTGCTAAAAGTAAGAGACAACGAATCGGATTCAGTGCCTTGATGAAGTGTGGTCCCTGCTCACTCAGACCTCATCCAGTGGGGCCGGCCTCGAAAATAATATTTCTCGACTCTGTAGGCGTCAATTAGGCCTAAAAACAAGGTGAGGACCCGGGCCCCTCCCCTAGGTCCGCCAGTGGATGATACTGTTCAAACACAGTACTATCCAATCCTTCACACCTCAAGCATTTGTTTACAGATTGTTGGACCTACAAAGAGGATTCGCACGGTATGGGAATAAGAAGTTTACGTACCTAGAAAGTATATGGTACGCGGCGACCTGAAGTCCACGCACATTGCAGTTCATGAGAGGTAAGCAGTGTGCCATGAGGTCCTCTAACCATCGAGGAATCTTAGAGGCGTCTTCAGTGATCGCATGTGGCTCCTCATGGAATTTATGTTCCTTTAAAAGAGAGGTTGGAGTAAAGATCACAGCCGAACCAAGGGACTCGCTGATTCGATTTGACCACAAGGAGACTTCAAAATGGGCGTCTTGGCACTCCCTGGAATATAAAATAATGTATATTTATAGTTGATTTCAAAATATCAAGTCTGTCACTGTGGGAAGAAGAAACTAAAGCAGCACATTTCGCGATAAACATGGATTCGTGAGTTCATGGTCTGACTGCAGCCACTACTCTAATGGTTTAAAGGGGATACATCACGCTATTTGTTATTTTTGAAAAAGCTAATCCTTTTCTCGCATCAATTGAATTCCAAAACCAATGGTCCAGTTTTGTTATTTGAGACTATATTTAGGCACAGAAAATCTTTCCTGTCTTCTGATGCAACGAATGACACAGATGGATATGGATTGGAACTTGAAAACGTTGGAGTACCTTTTTCAAGTTTTAATGCTATGCCTGCAAAAATCACCCAGAAATATAATATTATGGTTAGTGCTCCGTGATGAGATTTGTCTGATATCTTGTTCATAACTCTACAGGAGCATTTTGTGTTTGGGTAAGGCATTCAATAATGACTTCAGCACAGAATTGACCTAAAACAGCAATATCCTCGTGGCATCGCTCCTCTAAGGGACAGTTGAGAAATCAGGATTAGTAAATGTCTGTCAATTTGTGTCTTCATAAATTCCCCCTTACTTTCGGGTTCCATTGACAAAAATACAAGTCCAAAATCTCCCCAAGGGGAGAGTTTACTAGAAGATAACCGTACGAGCACAGTCTGACTCTCCCTCTCTCTTACCTGCATGGTACAAGAACAACTGTAATACTGTAGTGAACAAGTTTCCACTGAAGAACTCCTGCCACTCTACTAAAAGATTTGGAGGAAACTCCGGCGCGTTTTCTGAAGAACCAGTTGCTTTTTCATTGGATACGTCACTGGAATGTGCCTCATTGCTGACTTTGGATAGCTTAGAGGCATTCTCTTGAAAGAACCACGCCACGTTGCAGAAAAGGGAACAGACTTGGCAACACAGAGCAACGCATTTCAATGAAGTTGTCAGCATTGAGCGATTTTCTTCGCACGTCTGTTAAAGGAAATGAATATAGAACTCAGAAGGTTTGATGTGTAAACCATATCCATGACATAAAGTGACAGAATATTTTTTGTCCGGCAAAAGGAAATGGCTTTCGATCAGCGGCTATCACGGAGTGTGGAGGTCTCCGCTTTGCAGAACTCCGCAAGCATTTGCCTAAATTTGTTATTTTCTTTCTTCTGTTAAATTTGTAATTTGTAAAAAGAAGTTTTCTGTTAATATTAGTTTGTATGACATGGTAGATATTACATGTTGTGTCCATAAAAAATAAGTGAGCTATTTACAAGGCTAAAAATATAAATTTAAAAAAGAAAAATCCAAACTAGGTCATCATGTTGTGTTGTTGCTTTTCGTTAGTTTTTTGTCTGTTCAGTGCGTTTGTATGCTTGCCATTTATATTAACTTGTATTTCACTCTGATTATGCCGCACATATATTGAACTTATGGTCTTAAGTAGGTTGAGTTTGATCGTCCGGGTGAATGTAGTCCTGAATAGGACTGTTGTTGTTGACAGTGACTGACGTTTCGACAACCTGTGCGGTAGTCATCTTCAGAGTCAAAGTGAGTTGTATCACGTCAATTGATGGTATTATACTCTGGTTATTGATCATACTCTGGTTATTCGACTACCGCACAGGTTTTCGAAACGTCAGTCACTGTCAAAAACAACAGTCCTGTTCAGGACTACGTTCACCCGGACGATCAAACTGAACCTACTTTTGAAGTGACTCCTGGGTTCAAACCTTTCACAGTTATGGTATTAAGTTAAAAACGCAAAAAATGTACTTAATCGTCTCTTACAAATGCAATGTACACACAAACTGTATCTTCTGGCAAAATAAATATACTGAACTGAAACTGAGTGTGGTTTACTAAATTCCAAACACGAAACATCCCATTTTCCCGACGTTCTTAAGGTTTGCTTGAGAATGTGTAGCAACACAGCGACCCCTTCTTAATGCTTTCTGCGATCCACTGTAGCACGAAAGTTGTTTTACTCGTTATCTCTCGCCCCAACCGACAAAATTATCCTGTTGTACGCCAGAAAACATGTTGTTACGCAGGACGATTTGCAAGGACAATTTTTAGCGCAACGCAGCTTTGCAACATGGTTGAGACATTGTTTCCAGTCGAACCAATAATGTTGCAACATTGCAACGCTGTGTTGCGCTTAAAATAGTCGTTGCGAATCGTCCCGTCTAACATCACCTTAAAACGTTGCGAGAAGATTTTTAAAGAAGCCCTTGTGTCTATTTGCTTTCATGAAAAAAAAGCATATATTCTGCAAGAAAATTACCTGCAACCAACCGGCCAAGACACACAGCACAAAATCCCAATGCTTGTTGTTCATCATGTCTGGGCAATGACGAACAGCCATTTCTAGGATTCTGGCAAGCGACAGATTTAAAGACAAGATGCCCATTGAAACGGTTTCATCTAAAGGGCTGTTTATGAGTACGAGGCTGTCATGAGTGCTATTCCACTCCACGAGTTCATCCAGTAGACCTGTCAGAGTCAGTTGACACTCTAGCAATGCTTCTTCAGTGCCTTTGCTTTGTATAAACCACTTCTGGAGAGAACCACTAATGATAGCCAACAAACGTGCAAAACCTGGCAAATCAAAGGAGACTATCTCAGGGCTACTGCTTAAAAACAGAGTTAAGGGAACTATTATCAACCCAGAGTTCAAATTACAAATCAAACTGACAATTTGACAAAAATCTTACAAGCCCCAAATAAGTAATAACATTCAAAAAAAAGTTTTTCTCACGTACTGCTGGGGGCCTGGGTATAGGTCATGTGACCGAAAGGAGGACAGTTGCTTTTGTTGCGTCTGCCATGACTGACCTTTCCACCCACCCACCCACCCTAACATTTCAGTTTTGTAGGCTGTTCAAATGTAATGTGCAACTTTGTAATTTTGATAGTGTCCCACCTTTCTAGGGGTATGTTATTTATACATTTTTATGAATACGGAATAAAGGTCAGGCTGCGGCAGTCGGCTTGGCGTGGCTGCCGGTGGTGTTTAAGAAGTTTGTTTAAACTTGACTTAGTTAACTATCTGTCGAGCAATCAGGACTAGCTGTTAATGGTTTCATGATCTAGAATCCGCATTGCGCAACAATCAAAAATAGTTTCTATTATTTTGACAAATGACAGAAAAAAAAGACGGGGCATCTACAAAATGGCGACTTCACTTCATACGTGAATATTTCTAAAAGAAAAATGCAACATCTATGTTGTACCGTGAGGCAGCCATCACAACAAGCCCAAGGGAAAAGGGTATATCTCCATACTATCTGCCCCCAGATTCAATCAAATCAGTACAAAAAGACAAGCCAGAAGAAGGTCTACCTCTCTCGTCGTTCTCTTGACTCAAGAGTGCAGCAAACTGTTCAGTGATGACTTTCAGTTCGTAGATACCACTCAAATGGTTCACCAAAGTGTTCAGAGTCTGGCATTCCTTTTCTTCAAGGGAAGCTAGAGATTGGACCTCAGTCAACAGTAAAGTCGAGTCATATTGAAGGTCAAGTCGCTCCAATTCCTGTAACACGTCTTTTAGAACGAGACACCACAGAAAGCCGTCGGTTCGTGAATGTGCAAGCGCATCTGTAATAAGACTCCCACACCAGCCTCGCTTATTTATGTAATCTAACAGAGTACTACTTCCGGTCTGAAGTTTCACCAGAAGGCTGTAAATGGCTTGGTCAAGGCTGCCATCGCTCGCCATATATTGCTAAGAAAAAACAAATAAAAAAATTTACTTCTAACAAAGACGGAGTAAGATTAGAGAGTGATAATTGGTCACTTTCAATCGCAGAATACAGTCTGTCGGCTGGGACGAACGCTGTCACGATCTGCGCCGTTTTAAAAACTTGTCCGCATTGTTGAGAGTCAAAGAAAATAGCGAAGACAGAGACCACCTCAAAATGTCCGTCTAAGGAATATCTGAGTCCTTAAAAGAGTGCTGACTATACGGGTGATTCGTCGCCACAGTTTGTCCACAAGGAAATAGTGCGTTTATCTCCACAAAAAAAAAAAAACTCGCGAGCAAAAAGGTAAAAAATGCTGAAAGCTTTGTGCGCACGTAATATTTAAGTTTTGTCCGGGATTTTCAGCTCAATGAAGGAGCTCTTACATAAAGCACCCTACTCTTTTGAAAGGTCGATACTCTTCAACTGAACGTATGCTAGTTACCTCAACCATATCTAAAAGTCAACAATAGGCCCTTTGCAGAACTTGGTCACGTGCTTAGATACTACTTAACGAGGATGGCAAGCCACCCAAGCGTTCATACCGATCACAAAGCCTTGAGTGCGATCGAGCGAAGCATTTTTATTTTAAATATGCTTGTGGAAATTTAACGAAATGACTGGAATAGAAGACTCAAAAGACGTTTGAATTAAACTAGGAAGGTTCACCCGATCATATTCACCAAGTTCTGCAAAGGGCTAATTGCATTCAAAGCAAAGGGAATCAAGTTCAGTCCTTTGCCCTTGTTTCATTTCGGTTTTTTAGGCCTGAAAGCTGTGCAATCAAAACTTGGTTACTAACTGTAACTGTTACAAATCACTGACCTCCGCCATATCACTGTATCCCAAAACACAGGAACACCATTGTCGTACCCAACTCATCTCCAGCCACAGGCGAACCAAATCGCTCCTTGGCAAAGAAAGACTCGCCAGAAACGAAGAATCATCAGCACTTGAGAGGATCTCGTTAACCAGACTTGAGAAAAACAAAATCATATTCTGGTGATTTGTGAAAGTGCATTGTGTAGTTTGACATTCATTAAGCTGGTCTGGTACATCAGACATAACAGGAAGTGTTCCGTTCAAAAGTGGCTCCAACAACCATTGGCTCTGAGATGAGAAGAAATGGGAACAACGGTTAACTGTTTCCAAAGCCGCTTTAAACCTTAATTTTCTGGTACATATTGAATTAGTTTTGAATGATAAAATCATCTCTCACTTTCCCCTTAGTTTCTCGCTCTATCCGTCTGGAAGTTAAAATTTGAACCAGTTATTTCACACATGCACAACTACAGAGCAAAAGTTTTAAGTGCACCAGAACGACTTCGCGCTTTTTACACAGGCTAAGTGAAGTACTTAACCGACTATTGACAAAATTATGACATTATCCTCCTCACTAAAAAAGTGGCAAAAGAACAAAATCGCCAAAAAAAAATTGCATTTCTATTTGGAAGATCCTATGAAATTAATATATGTATTCAAAAGTTCTGCCAAGAAGTTATCAGAAGAGGCAAAAGAACCCAATCGCCAAAAAGGTTACATTTCTTTTTTCAAAATCCTTTGAAATAAATAATACTGCCAAAGAGGTTTGAATGGCAACATTACAGGATTTCATCCACAGATTGAGAAGTTAGAACTATATACTAAATAAATAGTACCACGTCAAAGTACTGCTGAAGAGGTTTCATTTGAATGGTCACACCATAGTATTCCATTCACTGACTCAAAAGTTAAAACTACATACGAAATAAATAGTACCATGTGAAAGTACTGGTGAAGAGGTTTCATTAGAATGGCAACACTATAGGATTTCAAAAGTCAGAACAACGAGTCAGCTCACCATCACTTCGTCTAGGATTGAGAGTGTTCACCTACCTTGGAATACTCATTTCTGAAAAATGTCAGGTCTTGCTCTTTTGGCGTTATGGCCTCGAATACACTCTGTGACAAAGACTTGTGCGCATGTTCATCTTTTTTAGACAGCTGGCTTGAATCCTGCAGCAAGCAAACTGCTACCTTAACCACATTCTCCACGCTATGGAAAAAAACAAATATTGCAGCTTAGAAGAAGCTGTCGAGATCCCCTACAATCAGACCATCTGGGTCTCAGTCTGGTCGGGTTTTGCTACAAACGGAAATAAGACGTTCGGCAAGAAAATAATTCAGTGAAACGACACGTCACAAATGCTATGACTGTAAGTATTGCACTGAGACAATGGAGCGCGATTGACGAAAACCATCAGAATTCCAAGGGTGAAATCCACGAAACCTTCTTCTGTAACTGCATTGAGTGATCGCACCATAAGATGTAAATAAAACTCGTGATTTGGCGGTACGCAGTTTCGGAAGTTCTAAACAAATACAAAGAGGAAAAGTTAAATTTGACGGAGAAATGTGCATTAAGTCCTTTTTAACCGAGAATTGATGATATTTTAGTAAAAATAGAAGGCACCCAAGTCGATAGATACGATTTGAGACCGAGTGAGAGAAACCGTTAGGGGCCAGAAATTCAAACGGGTGGATTTGCCGAAATTCTATGGTACTGTTCTAGGTCACTTGGTAGCTTGTCCTACCTCCCGTGTAAATGGCTAAATCGTTCACAAACTCTACTACATCGAAGAAAATGGAGAGTGCAAGGCGTCCTGAGAAGAATGCATTACACGAGCGATGGGTAACAAAGCAAAGCCTGGGAAAGACGACAAATAGGCGATAAGGAGTGTCATACCTCTCAAGGGTATCCCCTTTAGTTAGATTTTCATAGACAAACGAGGCTGCTCTTAGAAGAAGGGTCTCGCATGGTGTTGAATCCACGTCATATGAAACTTGACTCAAAACCTGTAATCCTTTTTGCCAGGTTTCTGCTACCGACTGCGATACTGACGCTGTGAAAGAAATTATTAATCAAACAGAGGGAATACCTTCTGAAATACTGTCTACAGTTTCAAATGACCAAACGGACAATTTCAAGTTCAATGCACCACCCTCAAACCAGTTGAACACGAAAGGCCAATCACGGCACACTTTCATCAACAGAGAATGATCTCTTGCTTTCATTCTTTCATTTATCTATTTAATTTATTCACAAAGACGAATCTGGTTTAACATTAGAATAGAACTAATTTAAAAAGAGTCGGGTAAAACAAACAAACAAAAAACAAACAAATAAACAGATACAAAGGAAGTGAGTGTTTGAGATCAATCCAGGACTTGAAAAAATTTTGAATTTCACCTTGTCCTAAATAGACAAGCAGCTCTCACATTTGACTTACCTGGAACCATTACTTACTTGCGCACTGGCGGCGGCACGGGAAAAGGAAGGGAGCGTGCAACTGCGTCTCTGGAATTTCTCCAATTCCCCCGTGGCTCCCGGTCAACTGAGCAACCAGATTTCCGCTAATCAACGCGAAGTGGAAACGAGCGCAAATATAAACAAACATTGAAAAGCACGTGCCATGGGTAATGACATCATTACCAATGTCATCTCTGCCAATCAGCATTTCGCATCGACTTTTTCGATGCAGATATTCAAATTCCAGAGACGCAGTTGCAAGCTTTCCTTCCTTTTCCCGCCCCGCCGCCAGAGCGCCCAGGAGAGCTTGCTCGCAGGCTAGAGACGCGATTCTTATTTCAATACTTACGACACACAACCAAGGCGAGAGGTTTATACTCGTCTTAGACTTCCATTAAAGTACGTCTTACAGAGCGGAAAGCTGTTTTGACTTTTCAAAATTTTACTGTCCGCTGACAATTTTTTTAAAAAAGATAGGCAACCGCTGTCCTGTTTACTTACATGATTCCCGAAGCGTCCTGACCAACTGTAACTGAAACACAGCAAGAAGAAGATCTTCTATACAAGGTGCAACATCGCCAGGCTGAAAATAAAAATTCATAAGAGCTGTGACAAGAGTAGTTATGACTCTTGGTTAACCAAACCAAGGTTATGACGTTAAATGTAGTGTGGGTAACCTGCAACTCCCAATGACTTGATTGTCACTTGTTGTAATCTATTGTTAGATCTTGTGGCTGATTACGAAAAAAACAACGACAAATTTAAAATCAGGGAAATATACGACTTACAGAATTTTCACAGTTGGTGAGATACATCTTTAAAATGTCCAGCAACGGAAGCAATTCCCTTTCACTGTCTTGTTCTGTCTGTCTTAGAATCCTTATGAAGAGTTGAAATATATTCTCCACAACGCCTTTCTCCAGCATTACAACTGCAAAACAAGGGTCATCATTTAAGGAATAAGAACCCATTAACGTTCACCCAAACGTACTGTTTGTGGCCACACACTAGGTATCTCCAAAAGCTAACAAGTGGCGTAACAAAATCTTTAGTTTACTCCCTTCAAGAAAGACGTCATTTTCAGCGCACGCGATGCCAAAAGGAAACATCTAGGTTTGCTTTATTTCATTTTAAAATAAGGAGTAAATAGTCTCCCAAAACGTATTGGGCAAAAGGTAAACGCTTAAGATATTACTGACCTTTACGTTTGGACACGATACACAACTGTAGAAGCTTCCAAACAATTCCTCTGTCTCCATCAGAAAGAACTGCAATGTTCAAGAAGTCGCTGCTGACATGAAGCACTAAACCTCTTGTTAAAGCAAGAAGTCTTTCATTTCCTTCCGCAGAATAAAGCCATCTAATAATGCCCAGAACTTCAGATTGCAGTCCCTAAGGGAAGAGGAAGTAATGGCCTGAATTACCTGAGATTCAAACAACTGTAATTTTGTCATGAAAGATATTAATCAACGTGGATAATGTGTATAAAGGATATAGTTTATCGTTCGTCTCACGATTGTCACTTTGATATTGATCGCGGCTGGCGTATCACGAACCTCGCTCATGGTTAGTGGGTGATAAAACCAACAATGGCGTAAAGGTGGCGTAAAAGCGCGCTTGTCTTCTACCTGAATCATTCGATAATGCAATTCTAGAGCTCTGATTGGCTTAGCCATCATGGTATATGAGCCATTATACCATGCTCTCCAAATACGGTAACTGTACGAGTCTGCTCAAAATTAAAAGCAAGCTGAAAAACAAATAAAGTCGGGAAGAATTGTCGATATTTTGTGGGCGTTTTTGATAAGACAATTATTCCACTCGCGCTTGTTGGATATGAGATGATTATAGCCAACTCATATCCAATGCGCACTCGTGGAATAACTGTTAATTATAAAAGTTATATCAAATTGTTACCTTACTGTTGACTTTTTAGAATTCATATTGGATAATAAACCTCACATCAAGTTTTAAACAGAGGAAAATTCTCCCACATTTAGGCACAATTGAAGCGCTTGTTCAAAGTATGTAAATTCGAACATCTTTCTTCTGTTAGAAACTTTATTCTAACATGTCAGGTGTTACCCTGGATGATCTTAGTATGGTTCCTCTCACATTTCGTCAACAACGTTGACACTAGCAAAATCTCAATTACCATCCAAATGTCATAGAGGAAATGATAAATAATGCGTTTTTGACAAATACCGTGCAAGAAAAGGATAGGATGGGAAAACTTCTTTTTTTGGAGAGCAAGCCCAAGTAAGAGCCAGCAAGAAGCAACAAAAAGTAGCCACTCCATACTAACATACTGTGATGCTAATCACCTAACCTGTACCATTTACTATTTAAACTCTACCACAACTACAATACTAGACGCGTAAATTGCAACATTACTCAACACAGTCAACAGTTACTTCTCAGAGACTCTTACCTGCTCAAGAACTTTGTATAAGAAACTGACTGTTGAATTTTGCTGATGGAAAAACGAATGATCGATGAGTTAATAACTAACATCAAGTATATCATAGAGTTGTATATGATAAGTAGGAAGACAGGTTAATTGTCTATAGGTAAGGTTCAAGCTTCAGAGCTACTTTTAACTAAAAAAGATGACCCAAAAATTACCTGAAGATATTTGGATACCAAATCTTCCTGTTTTTCAAGAGGCAATGGTTTTATTATCCCACAAAAAATTGTAATAACATAATCAACAGATTTATTGTCTTTAAAGCCACCACTTGCATCATCTCCGTTTGTATCAGACAGAAACGGTTCGCAGGATACGTTGATCCATGAAAACAACGTGCCATTAAGAAAACATTCACTCAAACTACGGTAATTGTCCTCATCTACTGAAGTCAATCTTGAAGAATGTTCACCAGTTCTAGTTAACGTTCTCATAAGACGAGTTGATGTAAAATGGGGAACAAGTCTTGAGAGGAGATTAAGATGTTTAAGCGAATTCTTTTGAGATATTTCATCCAGACACAGATTACAAATATGGCAAACCAGGTCCAATAGACAGCCACAATACAGTTTTTCCACATCCTCAGATCCTGTTAAATACAGATCCATAGGGTGACAATTTGTGTTTAGCAAAGCAGATCCATGGTCGCTAGTCTTGTTATCCAAAACTTCAGAGGAAGACTCTGTAAATGCAACCTTGTGTTGCTTTCTTCTCTTTGTGGCTGGTTTTTTCAGAGAAACCAGACAATGAGATACGGAGGCAACTGCTTCATGGTCAACCTGTCAGGAAATGACAACAGTTTCATGGTGAGACTATGACGAAATGTCAAAGCTTTTGATTAGTATTCACTGACTAGAAGATAAAATGACTATTGCACCGTAAAACCTTGCCTTATAATCTCCTGTTATCCAACCACCTAATAATGAGCATAACATTGTTTAACCATAGAAAAAGAAAATGCTGAGTCGTTTGGCTATCTGACAACTACGTTAGTACGATCACCTCGTTAATACAACGACACTTTCCTAGCCCTTATTTACAGGATTCTCACTGTATTTACAAGGCAAGTCTTTCAAATGTCAGTGGTGCATTGCATAACCCAAACGGAAGAACATTAAAGAAACAGATCTCCCTTTTCTTGACCTTCCCTTCGTGGATCCAGAGCAAGACACATTGAAATCGAGCAATACCAATAGAAGGCCTTAACTACAAATTTGTTTAAGTTTCATTACGTGTACCTTCAAAATAACCAAACATTTTAATTCAAACAGCCATTTTTTCTCAGAAGAAGATAAAACTGATCTCATACACCATTTGCAGTTGAGTATTACAAAGTGACCAAATTGAAATAAAAATGAACCAAATTAAATAATAGTTTTAAACGGTCCTAACCTCTTGATCAACTGGCTTGAGATGTTCCAGGCAGAGATGGCTGATACCTTCCCAGAACAATTTTAACATGTTCCTGAATTGTTGTCGTAATTGCTCCTCCCCTTCCACTGCCCCATCTGATTTGGAGTCACTTTCAGATTTGACGGACAGATATGACAACAAGCCAGCAACAAGAGAGTAAAGTTCAGTCTGTGCTAGTTTACTTTGCTTTTCCAAAGAGTTTTCCATTACTGACAGCAACTAAAAAACAAAATGAAAAATAAGGATAACTTTGTAAAACAATAGCAACGTGGTTACTATTTAAGGTACAGTTGCAGGTCCGTAGATGTAGTTCTAATAAACTGTGTCGGTCTTCTCAGTTCCTCCCAGCTTACTACCACACGGGCCATATATGTAGCTTGTGATGATTGCACCTCTTCATCGAAAAAAAAAGTTAAGATTCTAAGTTGCGCTTTTGAAGTGAACTTTAAGAAATTTAAGAAGGATCAAAATTATGCTGAGCTGCTTTCTTTGTTTTTGGTTCCAATGACAAATAGGAAGATAGAATACATGAATAAAAAGAAACATAGCAATTCAACGATCTTGAAACCATTGAAGATGGCTTTCCCTTAACCTTGGTCATGTAAATGCAGTGTAAATACATGTGAAAATAATAAAATGGACAAACTAAAATGTAACAACTGTCCAACCTGTTCCTTGATCAAATATTCTTGTACTGTAGAATCTGCACCCTTTCCACCAAATTCATGAAAAAGGCAAAATCTTAGACACTCCATAAATGCTGCAATCACTGATGAACATTCACTTGAGCTATTTTGTACCCGTTCCTTTAACAGGCCTTCACGTAGATTACTAAAGAACTCATGAAAGAAACCTATTCCATCACCAACAACCTACAAATGATCAACAATTGCTATTACTTAGTAAAAGAATAATGTAACAAAGCACTCTTGTTCAGCGTTACAAATGTATACATGTGTAATACCATTCACAAGGTCGTAGTTAACAACATTTAACAGTGCATGTACTGTAGAATTTATGGAATTTATCCTTTTAAAAACCCAAGGGATTGCAATTCCTTGAATGCTGTGGCATTCATATGACAAAAGTTGACAGGATTTTTGACGAGCAAGGCTGGCCTACTGTAGGTATGAATTGGAAACTCTGCCTGTTACATTAAATTCAGTGGCCTGACTTTGCTGTTCTTTCTTAGCATTGTTGTTGGTGAATTTTCAAGTTGTCATGGATGTGTCACCTGCTAAAATCATAAAGCATTAATGATGTGGGCCTAAAAAAAGGCTGATATCAATGGTCTGGTAAAGCCTCAAATGGTACTATGTAAAATTATATAACAATAGTTCCAACCTCTGAAGGGACTTTACTCAGGAATGGCAGCAAGTTAGGAAAAATAATTGTAGCACAGCCATTGCCTCCATTCTTTAAGACAGACCACAATTTTGGCAGAACAGCTTTGCGAACATTAACTTGTTTCCAGCAATCCTGATAAAAAGTAGACAACACCCAATTACATAAGCTCAAATCAACAGAAACGACATAAAAGTAATACTAGATTTGAGCCAGTAGCTAAAATACCAGCATACTACTTATTCTTCCATAAAGTGAAAAGTGATGGAAGATTGCAACAAAAAAAGTAGCTTGGAAGAAAAGAGAAACAAAAACTCACGACATTTTTTTAAAACTATATCTACAAAAAATTGGACCACGCAAAACCACGCAGCAGAAAACAAGGGTTATTTCATATAACTGAGTACAGTGACAGGCCAGCCACCTTGACCTTCCTTACCGTGATACTGTTAAGCACAGATAAAACAGCATCCCACAGATACTGACACACAGCAGGATCTGAATCATCAAGTGCTGACAACACAGCAGGGGACACCTGACTGCTGAGTGATAACATCATTGAAGGAAAGGTTTCACAAGCAAGGCTTATAGTGGAGAACACTGCACCCCGCACCTACAGAAAATAAAGCCAAAAAAGGGGATCTTCAGTTTTTACTATAGTAAATGGAAGAGCTGACTCAAATTCAGAGCCATTACAAATTGAGTTCACTATTACAAGGATGCAACTTTTCAGAAAAACGATAACAGTTATTCTCATTTTGATATTTTTATGGGCTTATTTGGTTTACTGCGATTTTTATCAACTGAGTTTCCTTAGTGAAAGTACAAAAACCTGTTTTGCATGGAAAAATTGGTGGGTTGAAATATCGTACATGTAAGTGTCACTGTTACTCATAAAAAGAAAACATTGCAAATATTTTTCCCACCCTTAATGTGCCTTTCCTTGTTGGAAACGTACATCTAATATCAAACTGTTAAATACATAAATAAACAAATGAAATCTAGGATGTAAGCTAATAGTAAACAACAAAAATAAATAATATGTACATTAGGAGACTGGTGCTTGGAATATTTCCAAAACTTGTTCTGCTGGAGTATGTTGAGAAAAAGCTCTTCCATCTCTGCTCTATTCTTTTTGATGTTACAGACATCAACTTTCCAAGAGCTGAAATGGATGATGAAACTACTCGGTTGTACTTAGCCTCTCTTTCCTCTTCTGACACAAATCTGTTTGATAAAGACAATACAAAAGAATAATGCAAAACACCTATAATAACAAAAAAAAAGAAGAGCAGAGACACCCCTACCTAAATAGAAACAAACAATTGCCACTTAACAGCAAATGGGGAGGGGGGTCATATGGGAAAATGCAGCCTTTTCCTGAGCATTTGCAAAGCAACTTAGGCTTTAAGGCCTCCTGCTGTAGCTGTCTTGCCCATGTACACGTTCCTGCACTTTTTAAGATCCATGTGGCATTCAAGCAATTTCACGTTACATACATAATGGTACTGTATTTTTATCTTTAGGGCCTTATTCCTGTAGGTGAGTACAACTATGACAGGTGTTGGCCCAGAAGCCAACAGTGGTTGGAGGAGAGGAGAGGATATAATGAGGGGATCCAAGCTGCCGTAAAAATGACTGAAGATTAAGCCACCCAAAAGGTGGCAGAGGAATACACTTACTTTGGATCAGAGAGGGTTGCAGGTGTTTGTGTCAGTATGTTATCCTGCAAGTACTGTAAGCAAAAAAGGATCAGCTTATTAAGAATCCCAGCCGAGAGCCTTGTGTAAATACATAGTGGCAAAGGGAAGAGGTTTCCTTTACGGGTCAAAAACAAATCGTCATGTATACATTGAGTGTCACTACTTTTATTCAAATATTTGATAAGTCATTACGCTGGACATGTTTTAGTGATTAGGGCTAGAATATGTGGACATATCAGGCATCATTCGGCACCCCTGGTCAAGATAAAACTCACAGCATAACAGACATTTATATCCACGCAGCAGTGGATGAAATATCAAGAACATTATTGTAGCAAAGTTCCATATTAAGGACCATGTAATTATCATCATATCATAGGGTAAGGAAAATAAGAATTAAGCTCGAGTCTCCCAAATAATAATGGGGAGGAGGGTACTCTGACAACTAAGCTATGGGGAGAGACTTATGGAGAGAAAGGCCAAATAGGTCCTTTGCAGCAAGTCGTTCAAGTGGTATGAAACTGCCACACTGGAGAGAAGGGACGCATTGAGACAAGACAAGCAAAGGCTTACAATTATACAATGGTAATTTTACTTATTTGTCTTCTCCCAGTGCATCTCCTGCCCTCGAGCATGGCAGTTTTGTATCAGTCATACACGTAAATGACTGTTATAGAGGATTACGATTATTGCAATAAAATATAGTAGACAGAGAATGTTTGAGCTCAGTGGGAGAACCTTGTAGACTCTGGATTGCAAGCAGGTTTTAAAGGTGATAATTTAATAGCAGAAGACAAAAAGATCATCAAAGCAAACCTCAAAGAACTCCTTTCTACAGAACATGATCACTTCAGCTTGCTTTTCATCCGAGAATGCAGCCTGAAAAGACCTTTTTCCTGAAGATGCTACAACCGCATAGGTATCAAACTGTGCACACAACCAAGGACCAATCACATAACGCAAATGAGGGGCAAGATTACGACCCACTTTGAGGACCAGCTGTTCCATTGCTTGCTGAGTGGCTTCACGGACTCTATGATCAATATCCTGTGTGGAAAATAATTATTCAAACCAAGCCTTGACGGTAATGTGTGTTTGAGTACATTGTACAGCTGTAGGTCTTTGTTTGGACCACTAGAAACCTTTTGCAATGCATAAAGCGAAAGTAAGCACTGGTAATAATCATATGATCACATTTTAAAACCGTATTTTGTGACAGAGCTCAGGTTTAGAAAAATCCTTTGGGTAAGCAGCTCTCACATTTTTCTTGCCTGGGGCCTCTTCATGCTTTTCTTAGCAAGTTAATGATTTTCTTAGAGGACCGATGACTTGCCTGGACCATTGCCCATTAAAACCCTTTAAGCCCTAAGAGCGATCAGCATCAAATTTCTCCTTGTAATATCAATGATTTGTAAAACAGAGTGGTCATGAGAATTACTGATATGATCACACGATTATCAACTTCTCCCCATTAGCTTCTGTAGGAAATGAATAGGGGCAACTAATGAGAATTCAAATTTTAATCTTAGGGTTTTAAGAGTTAAACAAGAAAGCCCTGGACTACCAGAGGGGACTTTTTTCTAGCCCTGAGAACTTGCATGGCTTTTTGCTTACATTGTTGTTTACTGAAAAAAATACCCCCACTTCCTCGAAACAAATTTGCAAATAAATAGGGATAACACATACATGTACACCTGTATTGACCTGTGAGACAGATCACCTGAAAAAAATTATGAGTGGCCATTCACACCAAAATATCTGTCAACTTCCATTGCCACAGAGTTATAGGTAATAGATGGATACTATATACAGCACAGCTGTCAAAAACTATCCAAAGCTTCTGACAATATGTAATGGGGTGATATTCATCCAACGGCATAGTCCATGACAACTTTCATAATTCATAAATTGCTTGAACTTCCAAGAGCAATGCCCAAGGTTAAAAATGGGCTCAGATTTTTTGTTCTGGCACGAATCGCCCTCTGGCGTATACACTGCATGCACAAATATACATGTACACTGTAAGAGTATAATATTATGCAAAATAGGCCAGTGGACTAAAGCAGAAGTGTGCCTGAGGTGAGCAAAGCCATATGTCTTTGGTGTCATCAGTAATCACAAGAACAAATTCTGTCATTTCTTATATGCAAAATCTTACACTAAATGCACACACTCTTCATCTGTAGACCTGCAGGCGTACATGTACCATAAAAGATAGCCAGCATACATTTGGAACGGTTCATGATCAATTTACTAACAAACTCTTTCGAGTGAACCTGATGGTGAAGTCCTCTCAAAGCAGTGAGCTACCAATGAAATTTGAACAGGGTTTTTCAGATCAACTCAAGAAGTCTCGTCAAAGATATTAGGATTAGGATTATTAGGATTTTCAGTGCTTACTAGGTATAAAGATATGGCTATAGTGTTTTATCACAACTTAATTTGACATCTTACCATGGCTAATTTGTTGAAAAGTCTTGGCCAAAATGGAAGAGCACTTTCCACAGCTTCAGCAGTTGAACTTTTGCACAAATCAGTGAACTCTTGCACTGCCTATGATAATAAAGTCAGAGAAAGATAAGCCAGTTTGCTGATTTAAATGCCTTTAAAAAATGGTTGAAGGCATACATGTAGCTCTGGAGTGTGGGTAGTAAAGAAGGGTACAGCAAGGAAACTCAATGGATGTGATGTCTTGATTACCGGTACCTAAAACATCTGAATAAATTGCTCCAAATAAACTCTATTATGCCTCATATTATAGTTACCATTAGTAAATTTAGTTCTGTAATTCTGCAAGTGTATTAAGTAAACAGCCAGCTATCATGATATCATATTACATGCTGCGTAAATTGCACCAAATAAAGTGCAGTGTTATTGTTCTTTTACGCAAAACAATTCTGTCATGCATTTCTGACAGCCATCCAGGGTCTAGGATGGAAAGGTTGGAATTCAGAAGAACTATGATTAGATGTACCCATACCCTTTTGTGCAAATGAGTTGTGGACAAACTAATATTGATGTAAACACCCTCATGTATCTAACACCCCAATCTGAATTTAGAACTGAAGAAGATACAGCTGTAGGGAAGATAAGGTGATGGGAAACATTTATTTCTATTCCTCCTTCCCAAGGACCTTAAGGGTAAGGAATAGGTTACTTGTAGAAATAGTCAAGTCAAATTCCTCAGCTACTGCATTACTTAGCTAAGAATCACTAGATATTAGTGATTTTTTGACTTCATTTGAATTTTTATGCAGATATATTTTATTTTACATTTTTACTTAGATAAATTTTATATTTACTAACTTACAGTAAATACTTCTGTTAATCAAATTACCTCTGACAAAAAATTATATTTATGATTTTCCGTTAAATATTTTAACCATAGCCAAGGTACGATATCTGTAAGGATTTTAATGACAAGATAAATGAAGGTGTACAAGAGGATCCTATCCCATTCAAAAATGTGGACAAATAAAATTAATTGAAAAAATAAGTGGTTTCTGACCAGCTAAGGCCACTGACCTGTTATTTGTTACCTGGGCCCAGTTGTTCGAAGGCCGATTAGCACTTAACCTGGGGTTAAATTTATGGTTTCTTTTTCTTGTGTTCAAAACAATTTTCTTGGATAACTTTCTCTGTTATTTTTAGAGCTTCCAATCATCAACTTGTACCCAAAAAGAATCAGAACTGAAATGCTTTTTAAATTTTCACACTAGCCCTTGGTTATCTTAACCCAGCTTTGAACAACTTGGTCCTGGTGTACAAATAATTTATTTATTATTTGACAATTATTCCATGAGTGCAAGTGAGATGGTAGATAGCCAGTGAGGCACATAGCGCTGAATTGGCTATAATCATCTCATATCCAACAAGGACTAGTGGAATTTTGTTTTAAAAAAACGCTCACAAAATGTCGAGAATTGTTCCCAACTTTATTTGTAAAAACAACCGACTTTCAGCTTGTTTTTGATTTTGAGCAGACACATACAATTACCATAACTGGAGAGCGTGGTATAATGCCTCATATACCATGATGGTTGTAAAGCCAATCAGAGCTATAGATCGAATTGCATTATCCAATGATTCAGTTTTTAATAATATTAAGATTAGCAAATAGCTCAAATCTATTTTTTAGGTTTGCACCATGGCCAGTACCTTCAATTTTGTAACTGAGTCTCTCTTCATTAACTTCCTCATCACCATCCTAAATTCTGAATCAACAGTAGCGTCAACATCTTCAACAGCACCAGCAGCCATTGGTACATAACCAAGGTTACTTGATCCTGGGCTTCCCATCAATCCTCCAAAACCAACAAAACCCACAGTGCCATCCTTGGACATCAGTGCTGCAGCACGACCACTGCTGGAAGGCTAAAGAAGGTTTATAAATACGGAGTGAATCTGAATGTACTCAAAGAAATTAAATCATGGACATAATGTCATTTGGGAAATACCATTTACATCCGAAATCCCTTTATGGCTGGAAGGCACGATCAGGACTGTCAAATATCGAGGATTGGTAGATGATGTCATAATGCGCAGCACATGATGTCATTTCTCCAAAAACATGCAAAAAAGATGTTGTTGGAATTGTAACAATTGACCTGATTGGTTAACTTGTCACCAATCACATTATTGCTTAGATTTCAATGGCATACTGGAATTTATAAGGAAACGTTCAATGTTAACAAAATAGCTCAAAAAAACAAAACAAAACAAAAAGAAAAAGAAAACTAAATAAAATGAAATAGCTCAAACAATGCAAAATATTTGAAATGTCATTGTCAGAGAGTCAAGTCCACAGGAAATGTCAAACTTTGGTGATTATCCGGGAGATTTTAGGCTCTAATCTGGAGACTGGGAGATATGGGTCACAATCTGGAGTCTCCCGGATTATCCGGGAGAGCTGACAGCACTGCACGATTCTCTGTGGTAGCGACAGGCCCCTTTTTGGTGCCCAGGCTATATATGGATGCCAATCCAGATTCCAGCTGCACTCTCGAATAGGAATGTATTCAATACTCTGACAGATTCCAAACAAGGAAAAATCAAATTCCTATCCCTCTTTAACTGGGATAAAAATGTGATTCCGGTACCCAAAAAATGGTAAAATAGTGACTCTGATGCCCCCATGGAGGGGGTCAAGAGAATAGAATTAGAGTTTAGTTCCCAGAGGAGAGAAAAGATTTTGTTCTTAACTACCAACATGCCCGCCGTGACGTCACGTGCGGACCAGCAATGCTAAGGAAGTAGGTTATTGATGGTTCTCATCCTAAAAACGACCGTGGGAGGGAGCCAATCTCTATTTACCATACCTTAACGTTTCCTTTAGTCCGCTGTTTATCTTTTCCTCCCATTATGAGTCTACTCAGCAGCTGTTTAGCAAAGGAATCGAAAGAGTTTTACTTTTTCATACAATACCCAGTCAGCCATATTGAATTAACAGGAGGACCCAGTCCTTCGCATCAATATTACCCAGAATGCAATGTTCCAAAATCCAGTCGTTGGAATGCGCATGCGCAGAAGACATGTGTTGTTTCCGTCGAATGCCTGAAGGGTATGTTATGGATGCCTCTTCCATCAAAGCATTCATTCTGCGAATTTTGTTTTTTGCTCCACAGTTTTAAACTTTTACTGTTAATCATAAGCTAACCAAGTTATCAGTCTATAAGACTCGGCCCTGCGCTGTGAGCATCGTCGCTAAATTGCCTCTAATTCAAAACAATATTGTACCCTCAAGGATCACGACAATAACTGCTTGATTCGCTTGATCTCATACACACGGAGTTGGAGGATGCATGATTTTGTACAGCGTTGGTGACTGGAACTTAGAAGCGCCTCAGACTGAGACGGTTTCTGTAAAGGAGCTTTTGTTATGGCTAAGAAGTGACCAAGATGGCTACACAACTCGCCTCCTCTTCGCCCGTTGGGATTGGCTCATCCCTTCCAAGTAAGCTTATTTACAATTTAAATTAGCGATCAGTTATTGCCCGTCTTTGTTTTAGTAAATAGTTTCTTTTATGTATCTTTTCTTTATCTGAATTCTACAGCATCGTGGGTCGTAACATCGGAGGACCGGACCAAACATGAGGCGACCTTCCAGAGTTTGAATCCCATCAGTGGTTTTCTGACAGGTATAAAAGCCAGCTGGGTATTAAAGACTTCTTAACCTTGATGCCGGATTTTCACAATGAAGATTAAAGTGAAATAAAGTTTTTTCTTATTCATAAAGAGTACCGCAAAGACGATAAATTTGTTTGCGAAAATGAAACTCTTTAAGAAGATCAAACTAGGAAAAAGTGTTTCTCCATTATATTAATTATTTTTTATTTTTATTCTTTCAAAATATTCCTCTGTTTGTTATTGGCTTAATACCCTGGCTAATTTTTCATAACTGCGCCAGCTATTGCTGACCAAATTTGGAAGTTTTTTTATTTTATTTAACAGTTCTCAACTAACCAAAATTTTACACATGTAATGTGGATGAATAAGGCCATGCAGTGGTTCAGCTGTTGTGGCAGTGCAGAGCATGAGAACTGAGAGAAGATTTTAAATGGCTCAAGAAGATACCAAGGATACGCACAAACGCCATTTGAAGATTGTCAAAGTGCTTGTTTTAAAATATCCACAAAAAAAATTTCCTTTCATGCTCTGAAACTGCCGAGGAACTTGCAAATGTTTGGAAGAAATTCCACATAGACTAAATGATGTTCTGTGCTTGGGATCTTTTGAATTAAATAGTCAAGCAGACAGTGAATTTTTTGGCTTATGGCGCAAGGAATTGTACAGGTGTCTATTATTATTATTATTATTGTCAAGTTATTAATATTTTTTTGGGGGTAGGGCTGTCACTCAGGGCCCAGAGCTGGGTATTTCTTGCAGCTTCCATGAGCATGGCTCCTTGCTACCTTCATAAGAATCAGCAGGAAAATAGAACCAAAAGAATTTTCTAGCTGTTCTATTCCTCTCACACTAATAGCATAATTTTCTCTGCAATTTGAAATCTTAGTGACCACCCTGTATTATTATTCTTATCTCAGTGCAACTTCTCTAACTAACAGGGTAATCAGTTGACTGTCCACTTGATCTTTTGTCTATCTTCAAAGGTTTTTGTTGCACAATCATGTAACATCAATTAAAGCCCTGTAAAATTAATTTCCCCGCACAATAATATATACAGTTGAATTAAGGGTATTATATTTCTCTGTTTATGGAGCCAGTTTGTGTCAATACTTGTTGTGTTTTACACTGTATGAGTAAAAAAAGGAGCTTATTGTGATTTTACTTTCAAATTCCCAAGGGGAGCAAGCCAAAAAGTATTTCCTCAAGTCCAATCTTCCTCCAATGGTCTTAGGTCAGATATGGTGAGTTTATTGGTGAACTTTTTTTTAATCCACTTCTGAATCGGTACATTAAATATTATGTAGTTTTGTTCTATTTTTTTAAGGTTGGTTATAGTGCAAAACGAGCTGTGGGCATGTACAGCAGTATTCTTATAAAATTTCCTTGGCCTCAGGTTATACAGCTTTAGTAACAAAAATTTAAATGTATCCTAGACTAATTAAATTATTTTAGAGTCATACCTGTGTTTAACTGTCTTGTATCTGTTATCAATTCTCAAATGACCAACTCTGCCAATAATTGATGTTTCACTAGGGACTTTTGTTAAAGGAGTCAAACCTGTATTAAACTGTCTTGTACTGTAAGGGACCAACTTGGTCTTTTGTTAGAGGCAGAAAACCTGTGAGCAGTCACATTTTTGTCTCGTCACGCAGCACTCCTTCCCAAGAAATGGCTGCTCACATTCCAACCACATTCCTTTCCCGATTTGGGCCAATCACAATTGTGGTTCTCTTTTCTGGAACTGTTTTTTGCCAAATTATCCTTTCACATGCCATCCAATCATAGTCTGTATTCTAACAAATCATGTGGTGTCAAGTTGTCTCCCAGAAGGCCGTTATTTGTCTTGTTAGATACATTTAAGTTCTGAATAAAACTGATTTGAAATTGCTACGATTTGATGACCTATCCTGGGTGAGAATTGAATTTGACGTCCACTTAAAGCAGTATTTACATTTTCTTACTTGCAATTCTAATGATTTTTGAAAAATGTGTTTGCTTTGAAATATAATATACGGTGTGCATTTACATGCATGTGACAGGCCTGATGAACAGTGCTGATAATCTGATAGAATTAGCTGTTTCTTGCCCCCAAATTTTTTCCTCAATGGAAAAATTAATGATTTTAAGGTTTTATACCAAGCATTGAATAGTTAGAGGTCGCCCATTTCAATGCCAAGTGTGTTTTTTTTTTCTTTTATTTTTTACCGTGAAAACTTCAGTATTTGATTCATTGTTTATGAAAGCAAAAGAGGACCTGGCCTGTTGGGGCTAACATCTCTGATGTAACTGGAAATCACAAGGGTCATTCTTTGCATGAAAACTGACATCATTTTCACTTTGCTGATAAATGATTGGTCATTTCTGTGGTTTGATAAAACGACTGGAAAGGAATGTGGCTGGAATGTGAGTAGCTGTTTCTTGGGGAGGAGCATTGCGTGACAAGACAAAAATGGCTGCGAGGGAGACTACCAAGAGTTTGGTAGTTCCCCGAGTTCCTGTGAGCATTGCCCTCACCTACTTTTATTGGACAGGAAGGGAAAGCAAAGCCAAAAGAACTTCTATTGCTTGCACATTTAGGCAGCAAATAAGTGACGTTCCTGATAGACAATGACCACTTACAGCTGTAAGATGGGTTTGACTGTACATTGTGAACTCACAAAATGTACTTTCAAGATTATGTTGTGAAACAAGTACAGTCAAACCTCTTTAATATGGACACCAAAGGGACGGAACCAAGTGTCCGCTTCACAGAGGTGTTTGCATTATAGAGGTAGGGTATGTATGATTTTTGGCATTTCTCGGTCCAAACGAACTGTCCGTGATGGAGAGGTGTCCATATTATAGAGGTGTCTGTAAGGAGAGGTTAGACTGTGTACTGTACATATACACTTCCATTCAGTTACATATCTACAGTCCATACTCCTCTTTCCCGACTATTACTAAAAGTGCTTGCATTTTCTTCATATACATGTCAATGAAAGTGTGCTTATGTTTGGGTTTCAATGAAGACATGATTTTAACCTCTTTGGATTACATATCACTTGCTTGTACAGTGTATTTCCAATCTGTTTGGAATTACTTTCAGTGACAGTTGTTTTATTCTTTGTTGTGTTATTCAGGAACCTTGCAGACATAGATCGTGATGGCAAGATGACCATGCAGGAATTCACCATTGCAGTACATCTTATTCAAAGTAAGCTAAAAGGAATTGAACTGCCGACATCACTTCCCAACAGTCTGAGAATGACTTCCATGCCTAGTACTTTTCTTGTGGGTCAGAAAACTAAACCTACAACAGATTGGAGTCAGTCGGGAAATCCACAAGTGTCCAATGGCTTCTCTAAGGTTGGCATGATGACCATGCCACATAAATCTGTTACATCAAGTATTTCCTGGTCTGGAGTGAACCAGTCCCCACCACAAACAAGAGCGGTACCAACCTCTTCTTCTTCAGTCTTTGGTTCATCATTTGGGCCATCCTCATCAGCAACCCTGCCGTCAACTTCTCTCTCAAGCTCATTAAACATTGGTATGAGTAGCGGATTTAACGCAGCTTCCTCAAATGCATCATTACTTAATGGACCAGGAAATCAACTTCAAACCAGCTTTGGGCCTGGTTTAGGTAATGTCCAGCGGACAAATTCACTGACTGGAGGTTTTGGCCCAGCACCAGGGCCTTATGGGACAATCACTCCTGCACATAGACTTAAATATAACCAAATGTTCAAAGCAAACGACTTTAAAAAAGCAGGATTTTTATCAGGTAGGGATTGTTCAAATTGTGCTTTTGCTGTCATGCTGATAGTATTTTCAGGGGGTTGGGAGAGGGGTGGGGTACAGTATGACCAATTAATTTAGGTAGTTTAATGTACATCTTCCATTCAAAAATCAGAAAAGGACATCCCAGAAATACATGTAGGGTTACATGTACATGTACTTAACACTCTCTGGAGAATAAGCTGGGGTGAGTACAAACACATGTAGATTAAAACCAAAACTCTGTCTTTGGGGGTAAGGGATCAGGGTTGTCAGAAAGTTTTAAAGTAGACAGCTGAGTTGTCAGAGTAAGTGGCCAGTCCAGGGATATTTTTTTTTAAATAATGCCATCCATAAAGAAAATAATGCCAAGCAGGGTAGCCGGCTGATACTAACTAAGGAGGCGGCAATTTTCGCGGGCAGCCGGCTACTTTTGACCACCCTGGGGGGTATGGATATTATTTTCTGGAACCACCTCTAGGTTGTTATGCCTTTCTATAAGAACATTTCTCACTTTCCCGTGATTACAGAGGCACCATCTGAAGGGTTACAGCTGTTGCTTTTTTCATAATCATGATAAATATTTTTAGTTCGTTCTATTTGTCTGGTAGTTACAGGTGAAATTTTATGATTTTGCCTGTGGAACTGATGTGCTTTCCATGCACATGTGCGCATAGTGAAGCTTTGAGCTATTTTTTTCTTTTTCATTTTGAATTTAGGTGATCAAGCTAGGAGTATGTTAATTCAGTCTGGTCTTTCACAAGGAATTTTAGCTCAAATATGGTGAGGATTTACAGGGTATCATCTATTGTCTTATTGTGAATCTGAAGTGACAAAAACAAGTATGCATGTTCAGCATACCAAACTACTTGCTTGTTAAGCTGCATGTACCAACTGGTTTAATTTTTGATGGTAATAATCATAGAAAATAATTATGTACACTGCATATATGCATACATGTGTACTTATATCATTATTGACATCGAAGTAACTTAAGTAGTATAGGTTTTAATCCCAGTTTACAAAGATTAAGAATCTGTCAATGAATGCTACCTGGATTAACTTTAATCTCTGTTTAAGTTTCATTTTTCTTTGTTTCAAAGTATTAGAACATACTTTGTTTTTCTTTGTTTCAAAGTAAATATTACATACTTTGAAACAAGAAAAATAAATTGCAACAAGAGTAAAGCTAAACCACAGTACAACTGTATATGCACATCACATAACCCAACGAGTAAGTTCATACACTCTTAATTTTAAATTACATGGCACTAACTTTACAACACGTGTTCTTGTCAGGCATCTGTCTGATTTAGACAAAGACGGACAGCTTAACATAGAAGAGTTTGCCTTGGCGATGCACTTTGTTGAGATAGCAAAGCTTGGTCAGCCCCTGCCGCCCTCAGTACCACCAGAGCTACTTCCTCCATCATACCAGTCACGACAAGCCACAGTTACTAATTTCCCTCCTGCTCAAGATGGCAGAGAGAGGTCTGACAGCGGTCGAGAAAGAAGTGGAAGTGTGGAAGGCAAATCAAGATCTAACAGTGTGACAATTTGTAAGTGAGGCACTTAATGGACCAGCACATGGAATAATGCCCTTAAATATAGATTATAGTCCAATTTAGCAAATTCAGCATAAAGCAGGTTTGTAAACCTAAGAAAAAAGCAATTCTCATGTTGACTGTAAGTAACTGCTGATCTGATTTTAATAACATCATTGTTTGCAGTACAAAACATAGGAGATTTAAAAGTAATTGGATGTACATATGCAGTATTCACTTAAGTTTTCAGATTCTTAATCTCTTGAGGAATGTTTTTATTTTGGATTCACATATCTTGCTTTTGGATGCAACTTGCTTTGCACACGGTCATAATTTTGGCACGAGATGATGATAGTGATGGGGCACCAAGTTGAAAAGGGCCACTTAAAGTCCACGCTGAAGCTCCAATGTCATTTTTATTTTCTTAGGCAGGCCAGGCTACGTGTACTTGACTTATGTATTTTACAGTCTCATTGAAAAATAGTGCCCTTTATCTCTAACAGGAATAACTTATTTTTATTCACAGTCACTTTTGAAGACAAGCGAAAAGACAATTTTGAAAAGGGGCGCTTAGAACTTGAAAGAAGGCGCATGGAATTGCAAGAAAAGTTAAAAAAAGAAAAGGATGAGAGGGAGAGGAAAGAGGCATTGGAGGAAGAAAGAAGACAAAGAGCAAAACTCGAAGCTGAACAAAAACGACAAGCTGAGTTGGAGAAGCAGAGGCAGCAGCAGCTTGAAATGGAGAGAGAGCAAGAAGCATTGAGAAAGAAAATGATTCAACAGAGACTTGTAAGCAAATGTTTATACACCTGTGTACTGTAGTTATTGTCATTACATTGTACTACATACATGTATAAGGCTCTGTTACATTTGTGTCCCAAATCGTGATTTCCAGACATTGGTTTTTTTGGACTACAGTATTGTGCTACAGTGTACAAACATGCTTCCTTGTTAGGGGAAAGGTCGGGAGAGGACAAAGATGGGAAAAAGTGAGCTTTCATGTACATTTTGTGTGTTTTGTAACCTTTGGTTCAGACTTTGTGGAATATATTATTATGCACATGAACAGTGTATTAAAGACGAAGAAGGTGCAAAATCAGTCAAACAAAGATACATTATTGTATTATTAATTTACACATCAAATTGCAAAGCAGTTTTAGCAGGCCTGTATAGAATACATTGTGTAATATTAATGCATTTCAGTTTTTACTTATGCAATGTTTCTTCTTAAAAAAAGGATGCAATAAAGAAGGGAAAATGGCTAATATTAGCACAGACGATAAAAAAAATCCTAGTGGTGGTACATAATGCTGTGGTTGTCTAAGTTGTAACTGAGCCTGATGATTAAACTGTCCATGCACCACTCAGAGATTAAATTAGTGTTGATGATGGAATTTATGAAGGATGGTTTACTTGACCATTTAACAGTCATCTTGCCTCCAAACCATCACCAAGAACCAAGAAGTCAACTCCACCAACAAATAACTCTGAAATCCGTGAAATAATTGACATAGTTTACTTATTTAGGATTACTTACCTACATGTAGGATTTTGACTTATTTGTCAAGCTTATTTGAATGCCAAGTTGACTTAAATACAAATATTTGGATCCTAACTGACAATCCTTGAATCCAACTTTTCATTGCCTTGACACTCTAAAGCCACCAGTCATGTGTTTAAAGTATGATTAAGTGGCAGTTTCAGGGCTGTCATCAAGAGCCGAGAGCCGGGGATTTCCCCGAGCTACTATGGATGTGGCCCCTGGTCACTTTCATAGGAAAATAGAAGAACAACAGAACCAAAAGAAATCCCTACTTATTTGATTCCCCACCTACATTGTACTTGTTGTATTAATTACCCAGCAACTTAAAATCTTAGTGACATCCCTGAGTTTAGAGAAAATTTATGTTCATGAAAGTTCTTTTCATTTGTTTGTGTAGTTAGTACTTTTTAAGACAACTTTAATGACTAGCAGTAGGGTGTGTATGTAGCCTGCTTTACAGTGATGGGAGAAACTGATACCCATGGAACTTTGTTTCAGTTCCACACTGTCTCTGTTAATTAATATTATTTTGTTGCTTTTTAGGCTGCTCAAATTGAAGCTGAGAGACAACGACAACTAGAATGGGAAAAACGAAAAAAAGAAGAATTATTAAATCACAAGAACTTAGAGCAAGATATAGTCAACAACCTTAAATCAAGGGTTCAGAAATTGGAGGAAGAGTTACTCAAAGTTGTAAGTGTTTTTGTTATTGTGTCATGAATTAATAAAATGCAATATTATACTGTACAATATGATAAGGGAAAATGTATCCTTGTCAGCCTTTGATGACTTTTGGGTAGCTCCCTTTACATTTTAAGGTTTGATATATTTTTCTACTAAAACAAGACAATGTAGATAAACGGTATTTTATTCCTAGAGAACTTTTTTGTTTGTTTGAATCCAATTCTTATTGTACCTTTTGTTTGTTTGAGTTTGTGACACATTTATTTTGTATGCTTTTATAGAGCCAGGCCAAAAATGGGGTACAAGAGACCTTAGATAATGAAAGACAGACCTGTATGCAGTGTCAGACATCACTGAACCTTATAAATCAGAGTAGAGAGATGAGATTTGCAGAAATTAGTAGAGTGCAGTGTGATATCAAGGTAAGTCTAGAATTTCCAGGTTTGGGCCATCCAAAAGAAAGCCCTGAATGACTAGAAGAAGAAGAAACTTTATTAATTTATACCGCTCAGGGTAGCCCCTTCAGACGCAAAAAGCTGTCTGTTATCAATGGGAGCCCTGAGCAACAATGCACAAAAACCACACTAAACATATAAACATCACACTAATACAGGTAATAATATAAATAGAAAACTATTTTCAATTAAAAGATTAAAAGATATAAAACACGAAATATCATTAAGATAATTCGTTAAAAAGAGGGCAACCATAATAATAGCAGGATCTTTTTGCAATTTCAGTTCTCACAGCAGGCGGATGTAAGAGGTTGCTTTGTCTAGTAGCGCGCGCATGGATTGTATTATTACGTTTAAAATATTGTTTAAAATTTTGAGGACATTGACTGATAAACCACTAGAAATTCTCCTGCTAAATTATCTGACAAACAATAATGTCAGTCTTACAAAGCGTGTCGAGAAAAGTTGCAAGAAAGCAGCAAGGGAGTTGAAGAAAGATCGAGAAGTGGAGCCTGTATTAAATGGTTTTTCTGGAAGTGACCAAGGTACACTGCAGTGGGCAGACTAAGGTATTCTAAAAGATGCTTGTAGGCTCTCCCCATCTCTCTTTCCATCATTTTTTGTTGCTTGTTTTTCCCTCCTTGTCTGCTTTTTTTGCTTGTCTGCACTGACTGAAAGCCTGGCACAGGCTAATCTCTGAGCAACACTGTACAGTGTAACACACAGCTCAAAAACTTACTAATACCATTCCTCTAACTGTGTCAGGTTACCCATCACAGGCACAAAAATGTAATCGTAACACATATTATTTGTAATATTTATTTGGCATTGTTATTGTGTGTGTGTGTGTGTTTTTTTAGGAATCTCAACAAAGAATAGTAGTAATGAAAAAAGAGAGTGAAAGGCTTGCTCAAGAAGTTAATCAATGTGATACAAACAAATTAGGTATATTGTATTAAATTTTTTCTTATTTATTCTTTTGTTGCTATTAAAGGGGTTTTGGATTAAAGAACTACATGAAGGAAGTCCTTGTGTACAGCTCACTCAAAATTAAATGTTTGTGCTGACAGCTATAAATTTTTCCAAGACATTGCACATTTGGCCTTGTACATGTTGTAGTTAATTTTTATTTCAGTTAATTTCTATTATTCCATTGTTTCTGGGTATGGTTATGTATGCTAATGAATTTAAAACAAAGGAAAACCAAAAATTAACTGGAATAAAATAATTATTAACTGCAACATATGCGAGTTGTGACTTTCTCAATACTTTCTTTGACGTGGACAAGATAAATAGTACACTGACATGAATGAACATCAAACAGTGACATGTATCTGTGATAGCAGAAATAAATCAACTACCCTCAAAAAAGATGTGAGTCCATGATGGGGAAGCAAGTAAACCACTAATTGCTAAGAATGACCAGCTACTAGAATGATATAACTTGACTTTGTAATACATGTATCATTTCAACTTGCAAGAAGTCGTTTCACTAAGTAAGCATCACACCATTATGTGCCTTGTGTAAATTTAAAATAGTGTTACTGAATTTTCAGGGGACACACATGGGAATTTAATGGCAAGTGTTCAAGATTCACGAGGAAACCTAAGACGACTGCAAACTTTACAGAACAACATGGAGAGAGTCCTTGCTGAAAAGTTAAAAGAGTTAGACACAATAAATGCACAAGTCAAAGTAAGTACAAGTAAAGTCATTTAAGAGAGTTTCCTATACCACAATAATAATTAAGCTATTGTATACCTGTAGCTCAAACACAGACATTCAGACACAAAACTGTAATCCACTTTTACCAATCCTCTAGGATCTGAACACAAGTATTGCACAACTTTCTGGTCAAAATACCAGACTACAGCAAATTTCAGAAGCAAAGCAGAGAGAATACACCACTTGGAAACAACGAAAAGATGAGGAAGAGAGGCAGCGAAAGGAGATGGAGGCTAAAAGGAAACGAGAGGAAGAAGAAGCAAGGAAACAAGCGGAAAGAGAATTAGAAGGTGAGAGTTGTTTAGTGGAGAGGCAGTTCAAACATCGAACTTTTTATGTGCTGAATGTAATCTCTTCAGTTAAGGACATGAAAAGATTGACGTTTGAATCAATTAAGTCTGACACATCTAATTTGGGTCAACCTATGAGTGAAGTGCGAGTGGCCCACATGTGGAGCAACATTGTTTCAGAGCTCAGGTCGGATTTTTCATGTGCTCAACCTAATGCATAAATTACTATAATTTATTTTGACTGGTAATCATTTTAGATCATTGCAGATCATGAAAATGAATTGAGTCCAACTAATTATGTTCGATGTCTGAATCAAAATATTAATGTCAAACTTATAAGATTCAGGTCGAACGACGCGACCCAAATACAGTAAGTATTAGGTTCGGTACATGAAAAGTTTTGTGTTTGAACTGATTGCCTCCTGCCAGTTGGGGTTTTTAATTTTGTTATGTAATATTTGAATTATTGTTTGTTTCTAAGTACTTGAGTGGAGTGCCTGTAAACTAGCTGGATAAGCTAATTTCACTCTCCACTATAAACAAGCCTTTAACCTTTTCTTTAACTCTGAGGTTGAAAATGAGCCAAACACAACAAAGATACATGTACAGTGTAGGAGGAAGCAGCGGATAAATGAGTGGCTGAGTTCCCTGAGAGACCAGCCACTTAAAACCTTAATGATGACGCATAAGATTATTGAACAGAGGTTTACATTTTATGTAGGAACAATCAGTGAACAAAGGACTGCTTTTAACAGCTCATGATGGTTATTGGAATCTTCTGTATAAAGAAGTCTACTACATGTATGATGTTGAAGCATTTGTCACTATTAACAAACAAATGCTTACAAAATGTAAAAGCCAGCAGAACTAAGCCTGTACTCTTAAATACTCTTAGTAATTTGGTTTTCATTAATGTTACGTAATTTTTCTTTGTATGTGACACATTTTGCATTATTTTAAGACTCTCTTTATGTAAGGTTTTAGATTGACAGTGTTATGTGTTATAGATGAATTCTGAAAATATAACAACCACTAAAAACGTTTTCTATTTTGTTGTTTGTTGCAACCTCCTTTCTTTTTACTGCTTAATTGAATGCATACTTTAGGCATTACTCCTGCTTTTTCTTAGCTAGTGCAATCAAATTGCCTTTAAAAGACAGATTTTTCTCATAGGACATCACTTTCATCTTTTTCTACATTTATACAGCCATGCGCCAAGAACAGGAAAAACAAAGAAAAGAACAGGAAATGAGAAGAAGGCTTAATGAAGCGAAACAAGCGGAAGAAGCAAGGCGTCAGGAAGACTTCAAAAAACAACAGCTTATAAAAAAAGATAAGATTCTGGTCCAGCAACAGCAGATGCTGGTAACAAGTCCTCCATCAAAAATCTTACCATCCAGCAGCATATCATCTAACATTGATCCTTTCAGGAGTGTAGCTACTGTGCGACAAATTAGCAGTGAACAGACCAGCACTACCAAGACGTCTGGTGGAGACGTGAAGCAGAAAGTGTTAGCAATGCAACAGTTAATTAAGGAGCAAGGCTCAGATGTTAGAGCACCGCCCACCAGTAAGAATATTAACCCTTTAAGCCCCGATATCCACTTACAAATTCTCCATACTGATCTCTATACATTTGCATTAAGAATTAGTTGAGAGAATTTGAAAAAAGATCACGGCATTTTCACTTTGGTGATCATTTTATTAATTCTCATAACCTTTTCTTTTGATAATGTATGGAAAATTTTATTAGAAAATTGATGTTGGTCACCATTGGGACTTAAAGGGTTAAAGAATTAAAATAACTTTAAAATGTAATGTAATTGTAAGACTTAGGAGGAAAAAGTGCTTAAGTAGTGGTAGTATTTTGATTATTTTGCTCAAAAAAGGACAACAAAGGACTTCACCACTTTTTTTGTTGGTTCCTTGTTTACGGTGTTCTCCGGAATTTTTTTTTTCTTTTTAAGGAAAAGAAGAGAAAATACATAACTAGGCATATTAGATTAAGAAGACACAGTCCCTGAAATCATGCAGTACAGTAACTCATGCATGGGTGCTGCCTTCCTTCCACTAGGACAGTAGGGGGGAAAGGCAGGGAGGGGGGGATGGGGCTGTGCTGAAAAGTGCATGCAGTGCATTTTGAGTAATGACCCAGATTCCTTTGTGTCCCAATGCCAATTGTTCATCATCATGAACATTATGATAAGGTTTAGGAATAGCCTGCGAAAACATCCGTTTCTCCTCGCTCTTCGCCGCTGGGGACGTTTCGCGAGGAGGAACGTCTGCGACTCAGCGACGGAAATTCCATACTGATGACGCAAAATCTGTCCGGAATCTGGTCAGAAGCGCTGATTGGTCGACAGAGTAGTTACATTGTTTTAGCTATTGTTTACGAATGACAGACAAAAGACAAAAGGCCACAGAGGTCAAATGTAAACGCGAAGAATCTCTAGCAAAACAGTCAATATTTGTTGAATATACTCTTCTCTAGAAGAAGAATTTGAGTTCTGCTGGAGCTCGTTGGCAGATGAACACAAAAATTTACCAAAATCGACCAGAAGACACGTAAAACTGTACAAATTTGTATTTGGAACCCCATGACTACCGGATTTATTATGTAGACATTGATTTGCGTCATCAGTATGGAATTTTTGCCACTGAATCGCAGACATTCCTCCACGCGAAACGTCCCCAGCGGCGAAGAGCGAGGAGAAATGGATGTTTTCGCAGGCTAGTTTAGGAAAAAAATTGAGAATCAAACTAGGTTGAAACCATTAATTTATTTAAACGTTCAAGCCCAAGTGCCCAAATATTATTATTAGTTGTGCTGTTTTACCCTTGGCCTATAAATGTAGGTACACTTTAAGCAGTTTTCGTATTAACCATGAATTGCTAACTCGTAGTGTTTCTATGAATTGCAGATCTGTTTAAACCAGTGGTTACACCAAAAGAATACTACAAAGCCTTGTATGAGTTTGAACCCAGAAACCCTGATGAGCTGCAGCTGGATGAAGGCGACGTCGTTGTGGTAAGATACAGCGTTATAATGTACATTCATGATAACTTAATAGTTCTTCTGACAAAACTGTGATCTTTGATGGTCAGCCCTACAGAGGAAAAAACATTAACTACACACTTCAAAAAAGTTCCTGAAAATTTTATTTGCAGTCAATATACAGTACATGTCGATGACTGCTTATCTGGGAAATTATTGGTGAAAAAATTATTAATAGAAACTGATTATTTTCTTTCATTGTAAATGATTTGAACCTAGGAGTCATGTCATAAGTCTTCTGGGTTGGTGTAGCAGATACGTGCAGTACTGTTATTACTAGTAAACGGTGACTGACATGTTTTTCAACAATCTGTACAGAACTTAGAGTTATTTCCCACGCACCTGTTTTTGTCTCACCACAGAGTGTTGTGTGAAGAGACAAAAACGGCTGCAGGGGAGACTATCACCACAGTTGCAACTCTGCTAATGACTGACTTATCCAACGTTTGTTGAAACATCAGCTTTGGTAAACAGAAGTCTTTTGAGGACTACGCTCACCCAGATGATCATTATTTATGTCACCCAGTCATTGTCTTTCAATTTTCATTCAGATTGACCAAGGTGCAAGAACACCTCCTCCAGGGTGGCTGTATGGTGAGACAAATGGCAAGAAAGGTCTGTTTCCTGAAAACTATGTGGAAAAAATAACCGAGGAAGAAGCTAAAGGTGCAGGGAAGCAAGACACCATTAGTGTTTCACCTCCAGATAGCTCATCTACAGTCAAGTCACTTTCTGCAGCACTCAGCATGCAGTTTGCATCTGGGGGCTCTCTTGGTGGGTCAGCTTTGGCTAGGCAAACCTCTTCAGATTCAAGTGTCAGAGTGGCTGAGGTAAGTGCTAGAGATGACAATTATAGCCCCCTCATGATGTAGGAATTATTTGCTTGTTTAATCCAGAATCCAGGAAAATTATGCTTGTGGATTCCAGAATTCTGGGCTTTAGAATCGGGAATACAAGAAATCCAACACTGTCTTGGATTTCCTTACATGGGTCCAGAGCATCCTTTACAATCAACAAGCTTTTTTATTTCTACTGTCAAACTTCTTTCTCTTGAGAAAGGGACATGGCTGTTTAGTAGAAGTCCTGTAAACAATTATATTTTCCTGACAATTTTCTCTGACTCCAGCAGCTAAAATTAATAGAGGATGATCTGTTATACATGTATTTAAAATACATTGTAGGGGTTTGATTATAGCCCTGATATACAGTGGAACTTCGATATAACAAAGTGCCAAGGGACTGGCAGGATATTTTTGTTCGCTATAATGAGGTTTCATTATATCGTGGTACTTTTCCATTATCTGACTATTACTGGGCTAAAGAAAATCGTTTGTTATACCGAGGACTTCGCTATTATAAAATGGTATAAAGGTTCCACTGTACTCAACAACAAAAAAAAAACCCATAGAAAAAATTAATCTGCAATTCAGTCTTCTACCCTGAGTAGGGAACAATTCCTATTGTTTAGATGATAATCTGTTCATGTTGTCCTTCAGCAGCATGGGTAAAAATATTAGATCCCTGGTGATGTTGTTGATCAGCAAAAGCTTGGATCTTAATTTTGTTTTCTAAACAACAGTTTAGCGCCTTACTATAACTAATTTTTTATTTTTAGACGTTGTAGTTTGGTGAAAGTGTTGCTGGCTGTTTACTGTAAAAATGAGGGTTTTCTTGATTGTTTCTTTTTATGTTCTTGAAAACTGGGAAATACAATAGGTCATTGAAAAGGAAAGATAAAGAAAACACTTGTGCATGTGCAGCTGTGGTTAAATCTTATAGTTACTTTATTTTTTGGAACTATTTTATTTATATATTTACTTTTGTTTGATCTTTACTCATCGTTCATAACTATAATACACGAAATTTGGGACCGAGTAAGAAAATATGATTGAACTACCTCGTTATATAAATGAAAGGTAGATGTACATCTGTTCTTTTCTGGTGGATTATTTTCTTGCTTTCTTGATATATATAAAAAAAAAATATTTACCGGTAGTGCACCGCCAAACCTTTGAAAGCCTAATGATTTAACTGTCCATGCACCACTCAGATTGTAAAATGTTGATGGTGGAATATTATGAAGGCTTACCAGGTGACACCAATAAATTGCAAATTATCACATTAAATACCTTTTTATAACCGTGTCACAATATTTCTGTTTTCTTTCTTAGACTCCTAAAGCAACTACCAGCCAGCAGTCCACATCAGAAGGTTTCCGAGTTATGGCATTGTATCCTTACAGAGCGAAAAAGGACGACCACTTATCTTTCAACAAAAATGATGTTATTATTGTAAAAGAACAGCAGGATATGTGGTGGTCTGGGGAACTCAATGGCAATATGGGATGGTTTCCCAAGTCTTATGTTAAACTACTTGGTGGGACCCTCAAAGCTTCAGAGTAAGTTTAGGGCTGAAAAAGAGCTTGAAGTTATGATTGGCCTTTTTCTTGTCCTTTGGACAAGTTGCTGTCAGTTTTTGCTCGCCCAGGGCAGCTGCATGCTAGTCTTTTAGTACTTAGTTGGATAGAAAATGTGATATCTTCGGCTAGTGATAAGTCAACGATGGCGTGCAGAGTTTTTTCTTTTATTCAGTCACCGGGAAGTGGGTGGAAAAACGAGGGGCTGTCAACTTCTAGATGTCTGGATATGGGATGGATGAAAATCTGAGCGATGTGTTAGATAGAGCTTCTCAAGTGAAAAGTAATTTTGGTATAGATTCCTAGCAACGTTTGGAAAATTATATGATACTGGTGATCCAATAATTATTCATACAACCAGCATGGTAGTAATTTCCTTTGTTATTAGCAGTATTTCACCAAAAAGTTTCTCATTTCTACTCATAAGCTACATGTACTTTTACTATAATGAAGCTATCATTTTAACATGTAGTAGCTTTTGAGAGTGCTTCCCTTTTGTTCACTGTGTCACTGTGATACTTATCTTTTTTGTAGAACAAATGGCACAATGGCTAAGGAAACATCAGTTAAAGAAACAACACCAGCTGTCCCTCCCCCTGAAACAAAACCCAGTCCTCCTACAACTCTGTTTGGTAAGTTTTATCCCACAGATCCTCACGTCCCCCGAGTCTGTTCACAGTCCCCTCCCCCCGCCCCCCAATTTAACGGCCGCCTTGTTAGCTCAGTTGGGAGAGTGCCGGCCGGTCTGCTGAGCGGGAGGTCGCGGGTTTAAACCCCGGCTGGACCAACACTAAAGGTCTTTAAATAACTGAGGAGAAAGTGCTGCCTTTGTAATGACATCTGCAAATGGTTAGACTTTCTAGTCTTCTCGGATAAGGACGAAAAACCGTAGATCCCGTCTCACAGCACTTTCACTGATCTGTTCTTGTGGGACGTAAAATAACCCACACTACTGTTCGAAAAGAGTAGGGGACGTAGACCCCGGTGTTGTGGCCAACCTCTACGGGTTGTGGGATTGAGTAGGGATGGCACCTTGCATGGGACCTATGAGTGCCGTTCGTACCGATTCTCTCTGGGCAGGCCTGTGTCCAGAAAAATCTTGTAAAAAGTAAAATAAAAAATGTTTTCATACGATTATTTCATATGTACCGAGAGGGAGGGTGTCGGGGTTCCCCGACTATTAAGCAGATTTTACACTCACCCAAGATGGACACCCGTAGTGCAGAATCTTTGATCTTGACGATCTTGCGACAAAATAGGGGACTGTGAACAGTCTTACGTCCCCACTTCTCTCTCCGCTACTCGTATTTTCGGCTTCGATATGTGATTGGTTCATGGCGTTGTCATTGGCTATAGTAATTTCCGTTGTTTTGGTATCAAGGCTTTCAGAGCACTAACACTAATTTCTTTCCTGGCTGCAGAGTGTGTAGCGCTTTACGATTACACGGGTGAGGCCGGCGATCTAAGCTTTACAGCGGGGGATGTGATCAAAGTTCGCAAGGATGAAGGTGAATGGTGGGAAGGAAGCTGTAATGGAGAGGAGGGGCTTTTCCCTGCTAACTACGTCAAAAGGAAGGATATTGAGGTAACTTTTGTTAGTCTCTTTAACCCTTGTCACTTCCAAGCTTGCTGAAATTCAAATTCATGAAAGGGCAAAGCTTAGTCCACGTCGCAGAGGTAATCGAACCCCGGCTTGTCACGTCTGCGAGGCAGTGCCAAGATCCTTGTTCTGAATTCCCAACGGAATCAGGAATTATTGGAAGTGCGTTTTGAATTACCCTTCAACGTGATTTGCCAGTCAAACACCGTTGTTTTAAACTGGCCAACCATGGCGTTTACTCAAATCCTGGTACACAGCCGCACGCCCAAAACAAGGATTTCGGCTCTGGCTCTGGGACGGACTTAAACGGAGGTCTAGTTTTCGTCTGAGGCGCGGCTAGCAAAGCTCTGATGTGTAAAACACATAAAAAACAAATGGCATCTATAGACCAATTTTTGGTAAGTAAGACCAGCACCTCGCTGGTCCACTGGACATGTGGAGGTCAAAAGCTTTAAAACGGTACTCTATCTTAAATGGACGGCGCTTGAGGAGGCTATGTTACGCTGTTTCCCCTATTTTTTAAAAGATAAAACGTGTCTTCGCATCAGTTGAATTCCAAAAAAATAATAAAGACAGGGCCTGACATAACGGCCAGTAAACGGACAATGTCCGGTTACAAACTAGCCGTTGTCTGTTCAAGTTCTTGGATGATCTAACAGTTTGTCCGGTCGTTTACGCTTCTAATTGAAAAAATTTATCCGCAACTTCCGATTTTATGTAAGGTTGGACATTATTGGCGATCGTGAAAAAAAAACGGAAAGTAAAAGAATAATTGATTCATAATGATGGTTTTGAAAGAGGGCCGCTGTAATGTGCGTGCCGCGCTTTCTGCGTTCAGTGAAATGTTTCATGTACATTAAAAGCCTAAATTTACTTGTTTGATATTTAAACATTGCGGAAAGTGGAGGCTTTTATAGTGATGTGAGGTAATAGATAGTATTTGTCCTGCCAAAAACGGGTCGTGTCTGAGCAAGCAAAGCCGTTTGACCGGCGCCAAAAGGGGAACTATTTTAAGCCCTGAGTGGTCCACTTTTGTCATTTTTATTCTATATTTAGGCATTGAAACTGTTTCCTGTCATGGGTTGCAGCATGGCGAGAATGGACATGGATAAAAACTTGAAAAAAATTAGGCTAACCTTTTCAAGTTTTTTTTTCAGTCATTTAAGTTATTGCTCCCTGATGAAATTTGTTTGTTATCTTCATTACTCTACAGGAGCATTTTTTGTATGGGTAAGGGCTCTAAGTACCCGGGGTCTAAGTAATGACTTCAGCGCAGAATAGGACAATTGGCCACTCCAGAAAATACCATAACATACCATAATGCTTTTTGATTGTCGCCCCAAAGTTTTGCATAAGCATTGTCTTCAGTTTCTCTTGGGAGTTAAAATGGCCCCAAGAGAAACTGAAAACAATGCTTATGCAACATTTTGAGGTGACAAACAAAGAACATTATGGTATGTTATGGTATTTCTGGAGTGGTCAATTGCACGATGACGATATTTGACTACAACTACCAGAATTCATTTCGGTTTTGCTTTGTTATTTAAATTTTATCAATCCCGTTGAGGATTAAAGAACAATAGCCTTAATTTGCACAAGAACACAACAAACTCAAGTAAAATGACGTCATCGTGCAATTGTCCTATTGACCTTTTAACGGAAATATCCTCGTGACATAACCCCTTTCAGTGTTCGTTCGATAAAATGCAGAGGACCCTTGATCAGTGTTCAGTTTTACTCTTGATTTGGTGGAGTAAAAGTGAAAACCAAGCATTATTTTTTTTTTATTTTATTTCAGGCACCAAAGGCTGCCCCTCGTATTAAACCAGGTAAGCAGTGGAAATATTTTTCACAGTGCATAATGGTGTGGCATTTACATTACTAATCTTAGTGGGTTTACATGTTGCGGCACCATTAAGGCCCGGTTCAGACGCCGTACTTTTCATGAGCCGAACCTAATTCGAATTAACGCCGACCCAAATTATTTAGACTGACCGAATTGATTCAGACGCTGATCTTAATTCCGGCCGAACTAAATTCAGAAGGAGAAAAATGCTCACTTTGGTCAAACTGTTGAAAAATACGTTATAAGAATTTATGCATTAGGTTCGGCTCATGAAAAGTACGGCGTCTGAACCGGGCCTAAGTGACTGGGTGTTCCGACTTTGTTTCATGTATTTACTCATGACTCAGATAGTTGAGTGAATTGTATTTTAGTTAAAAAAATGAGGTGAGGGTGTTAGATCAAACTTTCTGTTTTTATCTTTCTTTTATAATCGCAACAAGTAAAACCTTACGGTTTTCTCTCTTTTCAGAAATTGCTACCGTGACAACGGCGTACAACGCAGTGACGGCAGATCAGCTGTCACTCTCACCTGGACAGTTGATCCTGGTCAAAAGAAAACACCCTGATGGCTGGTGGGAAGGAGAACTTCAGGTATAAATGTCTGGCGCCTCCATACAAATCCTGGGTCCACAATGGCAGGTTTCAAGTAACACTGGGAACATTCAGTGTAGAGAATATGTTAAAAGAATTTCAATTTCCTGCACATTATTTGAATAGGTCATTTTAATAAACATATCCACCGCTGATTCTAGTCCGCTAGAGCTTAAGCGTCCTTTACCGTTTGATTGAATTTGTTTTCTATATTTTGTTTTTAAAAAGGCTCGTGGTAAGAAACGACAGAGTGGTTTGTTTCCGGGAAATCATGTGAAAATCTTGGACAGAAAAGCATCCGGTGGTGGGACATCAGGCCCAGTATCCTCTCCTATCACTGAAAGTGTGAGTAGAATTTACTTACCCAGCCCCAGTTGTTCAAAAGCTGGATAGCGCTATCCACCGGTTAAATCACTATCCAGTGGATAAATATTAGGGAAACCAATTGTGCTATCCGCTGGATAGTGATTTATCCGGTGGATAGCGCTATCCACCGGTTAAATCACTATCCAGTGGATAAATATTAGGGAAACCAATTGCGCTATCCGCTGGATAGTGATTTATCCACTGGATAGCGCTATCCACCGGTTAAATCACTATCCAGTGGATAAATATTAGGGAAACCAATTGTGCTATCCGCTGGATAGTGATTTATCCGGTGGATAGCGCTATCCACCGGTTAAATCACTATCCAGTGGATAAATATTAGGGAAACCAATTGTGCTATCCGCTGGATAGTGATTTATCCGGTGGATAGCGCTATCCACCGGTTAAATCACTATCCAGTGGATAAATATTAGGGAAACCAATTGCGCTATCCGCTGGATAGTGATTTATCCGGTGGATAGCGCTATCCACCGGTTAAATCACTATCCAGTGGATAAATATTAGGGAAACCAATTGCGCTATCCGCTGGATAGTGATTTATCCACTGGATAGCGCTATCCACCGGTTAAATCACTATCCAGTGGATAAATATTAGGGAAACCAATTGTGCTATCCGCTGGATAGTGATTTATCCGGTGGATAGCGCTATCCACCGGTTAAATCACTATCCAGTGGATAAATATTAGGGAAACCAATTGCGCTATCCGCTGGATAGTGATTTATCCACTGGATAGCGCTATCCACCGGTTAAATCACTATCCAGTGGATAAATATTAGGAAACCAATTGCGCTATCCGCTGGATAGTGATTTATCCACTGGATAGCGCTATCCACCGGTTAAATCACTATCCAGTGGATAAATATTAGGGAAACCAATTGTGCTATCCGCTGGATAGTGATTTATCCGGTGGATAGCGCTATCCACCGGTTAAATCACTATCCAGTGGATAAATATTAGGGAAACCAATTGTGCTATCCGCTGGATAGTGATTTATCCGGTGGATAGCGCTATCCACCGGTTAAATCACTATCCAGTGGATAAATATTAGGGAAACCAATTGCGCTATCCGCTGGATAGTGATTTATCCGGTGGATAGCGCTATCCACCGGTTAAATCACTATCCAGTGGATAAATATTAGGGAAACCAATTGCGCTATCCGCTGGATAGTGATTTATCCACTGGATAGCGCTATCCACCGGTTAAATCACTATCCAGTGGATAAATATTAGGGAAACCAATTGTGCTATCCGCTGGATAGTGATTTATCCGGTGGATAGCGCTATCCACCGGTTAAATCACTATCCAGTGGATAAATATTAGGGAAACCAATTGCGCTATCCGCTGGATAGTGATTTATCCACTGGATAGCGCTATCCACCGGTTAAATCACTATCCAGTGGATAAATATTAGGGAAACCAATTGCGCTATCCGCTGGATAGTGATTTATCCACTGGATAGCGCTATCCACCGGTTAAATCACTATCCAGTGGATAAATATTAGGGAAACCAATTGTGCTATCCGCTGGATAGTGATTTATCCGGTGGATAGCGCTATCCACCGGTTAAATCACTATCCAGTGGATAAATATTAGGGAAACCAATTGCGCTATCCGCTGGATAGTGATTTATCCACTGGATAGCGCTATCCACCGGTTAAATCACTATCCAGTGGATAAATATTAGGGAAACCAATTGCGCTATCCGCTGGATAGTGATTTATCCACTGGATAGCGCTATCCACCGGTTAAATCACTATCCAGTGGATAAATATTAGGGAAACCAATTGTGCTATCCTTTGGATAGTAATTTATCCACTGGATAGCGCTATCCACCGGTTAAATCACTATCCAGTGGATAAATATTAGGGAAACCAATTGTGCTATCCTTTGGATAGTAATTTATCCACTGGATAGCGCTATCCACCGGTTAAATCACTATCCAGTGGATAAATATTAGGGAAACCAATTGTGCTATCCTTTGGATAGTAATTTATCCACTGGATAGCGCTATCCACCGGTTAAATCACTATCCAGTGGATAAATATTAGGGAAACCAATTGCGCTATCCGCTGGATAGTGATTGTGGATAGCGCTGTCCACCTTTTCAACAACTGGGACCTGCTCTTTTCTTTAACTATCAACATTGTCTTTATTTTCACTATTTACATCATTTTATAAGTCTTTTTACATTCCGCAAGGCGATCAAGTGCCAAACGCACAAAGTAATTTAACTGTACATCTATAAAGTGCTTTGCGAACTCATTTGTAGAGAGATCGACGAGAATCCATTTTTAAACCTAAACACGGCACAAAAAGGGTATATTGATCGAATGCGAGTGTCATCATCATACGCCACCCAAAGATTGGAATAGGTTGTGGTTTTGGACATAACAGTGGTGGAGAGGTTGGAAAACTCTAACACATAGTTTTCTTTTATTTACAGGTCTACAGTGTCCCATCCCCGGCAAAAGGTACATAGTGTCATGTTATGAACTTACTTCCTCTTTAGGCCGGAAAAAAGTGAGGGGTACGCCGTAGAAACATTGTTGTTTGGGTTAGAATGGCGATTGATATCATCGGATAAAAAGAACATATCGGATGTTATATTGAAATGTTAAGAAGCAAGCACAAGTACAGTTGTATCCAAGTAAAGAAAAGAAATAAATAAATAAATAAAAATTCTAAAATCTAATATTTGGACAGGTACGCTATACTTAAAAATTGTTATTTTAAAAAACTTTTTAACAAGTTTATACAAGTAAATTAGGTTTAAAAGATCTAAAATCCAATATCTATCTATTCTAATAGCGTTTTTTCAGCATAATCACAAATGTATTTAATGGTAAAAGCTGGTGTTCTCTCTCCCGCCTACCCTCAACAATTTTTTGCCCCTGCCCAAGTTGCCCGTAGGAACAATGGTAGCTGGTCATTTGGCCCCGGTTACTTGGCCCCCTATTTTAGAGTCATTTAGCCCCATGCGTGAGTTACTTAGCCCCCTCGACTTAAAAAAAAAACAAGATTTATTTAGTACGTGAGTCACTTAGTCGCTTGCTTTGGTTAGGAAGGTGGGGGATTGGTTGAAAAATCACGATTGAAAGATGTTAGTTCGTATGATGGGGCTTATTATTGCTTATGTTGGGATTGTCTGAGTGTGATCGCCATGTGAGGACCAGACCCCAGTTGTTCATAAGTTAGACATCTCTATCCACTGGATAAATCTCCACCCACTGGATATCGCAATTGTTTTTCTTAATGTTTATTCGTTGGATAGTGATTTACCCGGTAGATAGCGCTATCCAACGTTTGTACTACGCGGCTGAAACCGCGTGATCAGCAGCAAATTGGGACAAAGAATAAACCTTTTAACCCTTTCACTGCCAAATGTGACCAAGAGCAAAATTCAACACAAATTTCCAAATTTCATTTTGTAAAATTTTGAAAAACAAATGTAAAAGTACAGGTAGAGAGGTTTCATTTGAATGGTCACTCGATAGGATTTCGTCCACAGACTCAAAAGTTAGAGCCACCTGACAAAACTCCTTTATTCACGCTGGCAGTGAAAAGGTTAATTAATGATAGCAGCTTCAGCCTCGTCCAATATTTATCCATTGTTTGTTGTCACGTAAATTGGATCAGCTCACTATTTTCCGTTTTGTTCTCCCCTTATTTTTCAGCCAAACTCGAGCAGGTGTTGGCCATGTTCCCTTACACCGCCCAGAACTCAGATGAACTCACCTTTTACAAGGGAAGCGTTATTAACGTTGTAAGCAAAGAAGGGGAATGGTGGAAAGGCGAAATGAATGGACAAACTGGCATGTTTCCGTCGAATTACGTTCAGCCACTGAGCGACTTGAAAATGGGTACCACGCAATGTAAGTCTGGGGTTGAGGCCGTTATTTGAGTTGACCTTTTTCAACTCCTCAGATACAGCCGAAGTTCTCGCAAGCGACCACCGCGGAAATTCGAAAAAGTGGTCGTAACTAGAGCTGGTCGCTCACGAGAATGAGCTCAGTAAATCATTAACAATTCATAAAGGAAAAAAAAAAAACGAAAGAATTTTTAAAATGTTTAGTGGGTGTTTTTATATCTGATATAGACTCGGCTAAACTTTACGTCCAATTTTTTAGACCATTAGAGCAGTGTGCAGTTTTCATTAAAGTGTTAATTTATACGAATAAGACCATGAGTGGTCGCTTACGAGAGCTTAAAAACAAAGGAAAGGTCCAGTTGGGTAATCCTAAAAGTGGTCGCGGTCGCTTAGGAGAGCTCTTCATCACAAACGGGGTTTCACAAAGGTGGTCGTAACTAGAGATGATTGCTTACGAGAGTGGTTGCAAGAAGGGCTTCGACTGTAGTAAATACTTGTAGAAAGGTGTCGGCTGTCTTTAGACCTTTCTTTCGTTTCTAAAATTACCTTTCCTCGCTGCTGAGTCCTTGGAGCCGAACTTATCATAGGTCAGCTTCAAAATCGCCGAGAAGACGTTCAGTTTTCCCTCAGACCAAACAACTGTTGGTCATCGGACAATGTCCGACTACAATTGGCCTACTTCCGGAGAAGTCCTGATTGTGACAGTGATGATACAGAAGATGATCATTAATTTTGTAAATGAATGAAATCTAGCTTCAGGGCAGTTCTAACGAAGCCTTAGCCTTTCGAGAAAGAAAAAATATTTGCTGCTCTGCTCTTGTGAGAGAGTAGGTTGAGAGAAGACGCAACAAAATTTGTACTTTACCGAGGACCTCAAAAGTCAATTTTGGACCCATGTTCTGTAGTTCGGAGACTATTCTTATGACACTTCTTTGGCAGTTCTTTGACTTGGTGCTATTCACTTAGTATGTTGTTCCAACTTTTGAGCCGGTGAATAATATCCTGTGGCGAGACCATTCAAATGAAACTTATGACCTCTTCAGCAGTACTTTCACATGGTACTATTTATTTAGAAGGAAATCCTATTGTTTGACCATATAGATGACATCTCTTGAGCATTACTCTCTCATGGTGTTATTTATTTCGTGTTCAATTCTAACTTTTGAGTCTGTTGGCGAAATCTTATAGTCTTGCCATTCAAATGAAATCTCTTCAGCACCACTTTTGTTTGTGTATTGACGCTATTCAGGGGTTAATGTCTTGGCCTGTTGCGATCAGTAGTATAACACGAAATAAGAGTTTTAAAAAAATAATAGCTTGATGTAGCCCCTTTTAATAGAGACCTGTGGATTCTAAGACGAACACGACTACGAGAACCAGATTTTCTCAGTCCATACTAAGTATAGCGCGCGCGAGAACTAGCGAGAAAAAGTGATACCCGTCGTCATTCTACTACGATTTTTTGCGAGAATGTCGTAGCGGCGGAAACAAGTTATCAAATGCTAGAAGTCTCACCATTTTGCGATCGGGAGAGGGCTTAACCTCCTTCAATAAAAATAACCAGGTTAACCTTGCTGATGAAAAAACGTAAAATGAAGCTGTCCGAGGTGTCTATTTTTTTTATAATACGTGCAAAACTTGAAGTCATATCTCGTCCTCGAATCTAAAGGTCTCTAATGCCTCCTTGTTGTGTCTTTCTCTGCAGGACGAGGACTTGAGATAACAGAAATGCTTTGGGATTTGCCTTCCTATAAATAAATAATCAAATCTTATTAGATTTAAAATTGTTACTCTTGCTAAGAATTACAGTCTGAGAGATTTATAATTAATATTGTATATTTTTTTCATTGCGACCTGGCATATCTATAGACGATGGATAAATCGATGATCGTAATTTTATCAAAATGTAGTTTTAGCCAAGGATTTCGAACAACAGTTGTTTTATGCAGGTGGTTTTTGTGGTGGCTGTAGTCATGAAGCTGTTAGTCGTTGTGGGGTTGTTTTCTGTTCAACTTTTATGAAAGTGTTATGGAAACGATGCGATAACTTTTACCTAAATCTTTAAAATTAAAGGGGCAAAGCTACGTTTGACATTTTCGAAGAGAACAGTTAGTTGTCATGTTTCAATTCATTAGTCATGTTACGATTAGCTGTAAAAATTATACATATATTTTTTTAGGCGAAGAGAAGTTCATTATGCGGAATATTATATGATATGAAAAACTGATGAAATTTTGCCAGATTTATTCAATTTGTTTTGGTCAGTTTGGGCTCTAGTGCAATCTTAAGAATTTATCTGATTTTTATCGGCCTTATTTCTAAGGTTAGCGTAGTGTCAAATTAAGTTCCAATGTTCTAAAGTCTAAATGTAAGAACTGCATGATAACGAATAAAAATAACTTGCAATGCTTATGTGTTTGATGGTTTGTTCGTTCATTCATAAGTAATTCCCAAAGCATTTTCTTTATCTCTACCTCGCGCCTGTTGCAAAGGATTCAATGACCCAACTGGTCGGAGATTTATTGAAAAAAAAATTATCGTCTTTCCTTCGGTTTTGTTGTCAACCAACCCACTCCCCCTCCCCTCCCCTCTTTTTTTGTCGCTGTGAACGAATCGCTGTTGGGAGACAACTGTATTTTATGGTGTTATTTTCCCCGGAACCTTTGGTTGGCGTTCAATATTTCTACATGGTAGTTGTGTTTGTCATTTATATTACACAAGTATTTTAGCGGAGAAAATTGCCCTCGATGACTGCTCGAGGTACAAACATCTATACTTGCATTGGAATAAGAATTGTCCAAATTAGCTTGTGGTTGTAAATTTTCCTTGAGCGTCGAGAGTCCTTTGTAACACTGACCTATTACTTCCTCTTTCTCCAGAGCGCTTTTGTAAAATGATCACTTCGACCAATCATAAGATGACAGGACAATAGAGAGGAGAAGTCGTTGCGTCACGTTGCCATGGTAGCAAAATTTCTGGGTCTCAACAAACCGTGGCCCTGCAAATATGGCAGGGAGAAAAAAAAACGAACAAAACTGTTCACTCAGGAACAAAACGGCAGCTCATACTTTTCTTTTATCGCTCGACAATGCAAATGGTCATCTCTGTCAAGAAAGTTAGTTGGCCCGGTTGTTCGGAGGCCGATTAGCGCTTAACCCAGGGTTAAATTTAACCCGGGATTCTTTAGACTGTTCACAGTCCTCTATTTACTCATGCAAGATGGCAGCCCGTAACACAAAGCGCTCAATCTCGATGATCTTACGGAAAAATAGAGGACTGTTAACAGTCTAGGGATTCTTTTTCTTTTGTTCAAAAGCATTTTCTCAGACAGTTCTCTGATGTTCATAGAGCATCGAATCATCAACTTGTAGACAAAAAGAATGAAAATGAATTACTTTGTAAGCTTTCATATTTGAATTCAAATTTTGCACTAACCCTGGGTTATCTTAACCCAGCATTGAACAACCTGGCCCATCTTGCTACCATGGTAACGTGACGTCACACTTCGCTCTATTCAATGAGCCTATCAGATCTTTTAGCAAAGCGGTTTCTTGGTGTCAACAGTTCTAATCGCGAGAAAACGGAGAAACGCGTGTTCGCAGCTTACAACTGTTTTGCTTTTGTGCGTCAGATGAGAAGGTGAAACGAAAACATGACAATGTAAACGCTCTAGTACGCTTTGTAAGGGAACCTACCGTTGGCTGAGTCGAAATGTATCGTTTTTTCAGGGTTGATCACTATTTCTATTCGAAGGCTGCTGAACAGGTGTATTCGTTTGGTTTCGATTGGTGCTTTTCTTACCTTTGGTAAAAAAGTTATTAGACTCACTCGACATAATCAGGCCGTCGATTTTTTCTTTTTTCGGAGGCGTATACTGAAGGTACAACTGCCAAGGAAATCTAAGAATGTCAAGGTACAACTGCCAAGGAAATCTAGGAATGTTAAGCATCTCGTATTGTGCCATTTATTTCCACTTCCTTGACCAAATACAAGGAATAAATATTTTGGGCCGATTTTCTTCTTCCTCTCTCCATAACCCTTTCGGCTTTACTTTTACTATATTCATTAAGACCATTTGCTTGAAGCAAATTAACTTTGCTGTTACTGAATCTAGTCAGTTGGCTGTCAGTTGGTAGAAACTGGAATGCGGTGAGCAAACTTTTGGTATAACGAGAGCCGCCTCATTCGGGAGAAGAATTTTACCCTCTAACCACCCCCCCCTCCCCCCCCCAAAAAAAATCTATTTTATAAAATCCTAGGAAATATATTAAACTATCCAAATGTTCTGCCAAAGAGGACTTATTCGAATGGTAGCGTCAAACAAATTCCGGGTCCACTGATTTAAAACGTTAGAGTGACAAGTGATCCTCTTGTAACTTGGTCTCAACTTGAGCGAATCTATCTGCCATTTTTTTCGAGATGGGGACCCTTGAGTGTGACGAAATTGTATGTATTTTTATGTTTCAGATTTCTTGGTCAAAAATTTTAATAATCATGTTTTTACAATATCAAATTCCCGTCGATATTGTGACGTTTAAAACGCCCGATGAGAAAATTTGCATGACATTTTTCATGAATATGAAAGATTTTGCTTTCACTGTGTTTTTAGGTTAAAAACAACAAAACTGAAAAACAAGCTTAATGTTTTCATCGGCTAAAATTACTTTTTAGGTTTCCGTCAAAATTGTCACCGCTGTGTGGTTTTATCGCGCGAAAATGTTTTGTTTTGAATAACATGGTTCAAATGCAACAACCGGCAACTCTTGCATCATTTTGGCCGCTCGCTGAAAGTGAAAAAAATTTTAAATACGTTGGTTCTTGATACGTGTCAGTTATGACTCAGTCCTATTTTTAACCAATTATAGGCTCTGAACCGTGAATAATATTGAGAAAATTTTGTTGAAACGTCCAGTTTTATTCTGTTGGTGCGATTTTAAAGATCTGCCGAGCCTTAGAGTATTGTACTATCGTCAATCGTTAGCGAGATAACTGTTGTTACACGTGATGGGTTTTAATCGCGCGGGATCGCCTCTACAGTCTCGCGTTGCGAAGGCTTGTCGTAATAGCTTGCGAAACCTGAAAAACCAGTTTCGTCCGAAGAAACACAAAGTCGAGGTTATTCAAAGAGGAAACAATGGAAATACTTCCCAGGGTACGTAAGACGCTCGATTTTTTTGGAATGACTCTCCTTTAATGTTTTCGCTTGTGTATCAAATTTATGAATTTTATGGATCCTGATTTTATAATAAAGTATTTGCCGTCATCGGTTGGAATGGCAATTTTATGTGTCAATCAATGAGGACTCTGTAAGCGTCTTATTACATTGAATATTCTAATTTCTTAAATCTTCTTAACTGCGTTTCGCGAAGGTCGTTGTTCACGATTTACATTTAAGACGAAGCGTTTATCCAAACAGACTAAACAGGCTTCGCCGTTTAAAACACTTCTTAGTATATGACGCAATTGTAAAATGATGATTTTTCTTTCTGACGGGGACATAAAGATTTCAGTCTAGAGGTCGTGAATCTGTTTGCAAAATATATAGCCGTTAAATTGTCACAACATGGTTATATTCGATTGTTTAGCGGTATTTTTTTCTATTGCAGTCATGATTTGGCTTGCAATCTATTTTTGTATTGGGATGTGTCATTATATTGCGATTGATTTTTTCTGCATTTCTCTTTTATTGACTGTAATGAACCTATTTTATTTCGCCACGCTTTCGTATTCGCACAGGTACAATATCTACAGTATTTTGTCGTATCGGTTTTAGTTTTTTAGTTTTAGAAAACTTCAGACGAAAATGATGTATAAATAAATAAAAACTCTTCGCTTTTCAATAACACTAAAAACTTCAAGGCCGATATGAGAACTCTTTCTGTTTTTTTGTATTCCAAAGACAGACGCAAAATTTGGGCTGAGTTAAGCCATTATTCACGTTGATAATATCATTCCTTGGCCTGTATAATGTATTGATTTGCTGCGAAAAGGACAAAGGGAAGTCACCAATGACAAGGGGCTGTAAGTAACACGGCTGTGGTCTTTGTTTTCTTTCTCTAGGGACGGGGTCTTTTGATGCCAAAGTTTTGGCCTCTATGTCCACAACGGAACAACAAAGACAGGTATTGAAAGTTCGGTGGTGGTTTGAATTCATTGAATTTACGATGTGGGAAGAGAGGAGTGTTTTTTGAGCTTTTGGCTTGAACAGAAGTCTCTCTTCGCCCTTCATCCTCCCTCCCTTTTCTTAACGCCATAGTCAGTGTTCAAAAGTTGCCTCTCCCTCTGCGATTTCCTCCTTCTTTCTTTCGCTCTTAACTGTGGAAACGTTGCTTGCTTGCTTGCTGTCTTGTTTCTTTCTTTCTTTTGTTTGTGTCCGTGCATTTGTCTTTTTTGTACTTGTTGATTCTTATCTTTTTGTTCAACCATTTTTTTCTTTCACAGAACGTCATATACGAGCTTATTAACACGGAGCAAGTTTACATGGATGATCTCAGTGCGACTTTGGAGGTCAGTATAAGGGTTGAATGTTAGGCCAGGGTGGTCTTGTTTACTATTTACATGGGCAAACCGGTCGGTTCACGATATTGGCAGCATACTGCTAAGCATCCCAATCAGGGATAATAGCGTTACTTTGCTTCAAGCAACATTCCACTAGCCTGCGTAGTAGGCACAGGTTACTTATTTTTTTACAACCCTAAAAAAAACCGGCGCCTTTACAGAAACCGATAAGTGACATTCTAAGGGCACGTTTACACTTTGAAATTTTTTCCGTATTCAATTTGCTGTTTACACGCAGATGGGTAAATCCGAAATCAAAACATCCCAGCTCGACGTCGTGTCCGGAAATTCTGAATCCGGAATCTTAAGTGATTACTTTGTATCCAAATGAATGTTCTCTGTCCTGCTGATGTGTGTTAACATCCTCGTGAATCTGAATACCTTGAATGTAATAAATCCGATTCGGAGAAAAAAACGTTATAAATCCGGAAAGATAACGCTGTGTTGTAAATCTAGCCTAACACTGTGTTGTCAATTATATTTTGTTACATGTGTTAGGTTTTCTACAACCCCTTGGCCGAGTCTGGATTGCTGACTAAGCCGGAACTTGTCACCGTGTTTATTAACTGGAAGGAGCTCATCTGGTGCAACATGAGACTTCTAAAGTGAGTATTTATACCGGGAAAAAATTCAGGGAGACTGGGCTTCAGCTTGTCGCACTAGAATTTCTTGGTAACCGTTAGCGAAATCGTGAGGCTTGTTACCATGGCAACCTATTTGCCCAGCAACCGGTCGTTGAACAACTCGTGGTTTTACACTTCAAATGTCGCGCTTTTATACCCTTCTTCTCGTAGTTGAAAACCATCGACAAATCATCAAAAATCACAGGTCAAACGCTGGTTATTCAGAATATTCAGAAATTCTAGCAACGAAAGCTGTCCCGGTTTTCCTGAAGTTTGAGAGTGGCTGATAGGCGTATCTCCACCGTGTGACGGATTGCATTCATAATTAACTATAAACTTTATTTAACATCCTGATTTTGTTTTCAGGGCTTTTCTGATTCGAAAGAAGATGAGTACCAGTGTGGCTATTACATCAATCGGCGATATCCTTTGTGAAATGGTAAGATACTCCGCACTTAAACGAGGTTAACACCGGAAGCGAAACGTCAACTTATAACGCAATGCCGACTTGCCATTCTTCTCCATTGCGGTTTCGGAAGTTGTTTTTACGGTCTTTTATGTCTCAAGCAGGAATGTCAGCGAAAAATAACGAGCTAGAGACCGATTTATTCTTCTAGAACGAGCGTGAACTTTTGCTAGAAATAACTAGCGACTACAAGAAATCTATTTTAATGGAAAGCGTCGGCTGGCAATTGCTTCAATCTAAATATTCTGATATGCTCAAGCCTACCTGCTAGAACTGTTTATAGAATAGTATCCAAATATCTGGCCGCCATTTTTGGCCGGCCGTGACATCATGTCAAAACAATCTATAGTAAAAATCCACATTATAACAACGTACATCATTCCAAGCTTCAAAAGGTTCTTCCCTACTTAAACATAATTTTGGGGGGTGGAGTTGCAGTCACATTCTTCAGCATATTTTCTGCTTATATGTTGTTTCCCAAAATAATTGATTATAACCTGATAGCCTGTATTCTCCTTATCCATTGTAAACGATTTTTGTATGTTTTTCTCCGATATATTTGGCTTTTCCTTCAGTTACCGCATCTGACGCCTTACGTGCGATTCTGTAGCTGTCAGCTGAAAGCTTGCCAACTTCTGCAACACAAGACTGAAACAAACCCAGAATTCAAACAACTGGAAAAGGTAAAGCTTAAACGAGCCCCAAAGTTCACTCTTCTAGTAATTTCTTTCCAAAAATTCAGTGTCCTAACCGATGAACTTTTGTATCGTTATTTTGTTATATCGTTCGTGGCGGTTTTATTTCTTTGAGTAGGCGCTAGGTATCCATTAAGCTGGTTTAATAAATGGTAAATTACGGCTCAACAATGTTTTCTTGTTACATCTTTTATGTTATTTTTAACAGAAATGCATTGCAGATCCTCGAGCCAAAGGTCTCCCTCTCAGCAGCTATCTGTTAAAACCTCTGCAGAGAATATGCAAATATCCTCTTTTAATCAGAGAGGTGAGGTTTATATCTTTCTTGTCAAAGACAGTCATCCACTTATTAATTTTTCCGATGACCTTCGTGAGTTTCAAATCTATAAAACTTGTACTTTAAAGAGTTAAAGTTTAATTTACCTTTACGAGTTACTGTTAATCTGCAAACAGTCAGCACTTGCTCTCAGCCACATGCAGAAAAAGCTTGAGAGGTCTAATATGGTGTCGTGTTTGCCTTTGTCTTTAGATTTTAAAGTACACCCCCGAGAATCACTTTGACAGAGTGAACTTAGAAACTGCGCTGGAGAAAGCTGAAGAACTTTGCCAACAGGTACAAAAACCCCGCTTAGACGTATGCGTTCTTGACTGAGTGTGTGGTCGAGATGGCTGATTATTGGCCAAGTTTTATGCGGGATTGAGACGAAGTATCGCTGGGGCGCGTTCGGGACGGATCCCGTGCGGGTCAGATAGGCCTACAATATCTTACCCGCGCGGGTAGCCAATCAGGTTACAGTATTCGCTTCACGTCTTGCCCGTTCATGGAGTTCTTTCTAACTAACTTGCGTGTATGGTTTATTTAGTTTACTGTCGTATGAAACTGATTTATAGCTCGTAATAGACCGTTCCCGCATTCCTGTGAACAAACGCACCAACTCGAAGCCTAGGATGACAAATACAATGTTGTGTACGAAACTTTCCACCCAAGCTTTGACCTCGTTTCACCAGGGACTTGAGCGAGAACGACGAAAACGTTGGCGAAAACGTCTCATAAAAATGTAATTCTCGCTGTTTCAAAATTCATCGCTCTTATTCCATGCCGTTCAATTTGACACATATTGATAAATTTTTCCGTAGTTGAATTCTAAATGGCAGACTGTCGGTATCTAAGGTTAAGAAAAGAAAGGGAAAACCATTGTCTTGTGCTCACGTCCTCTACACGACGTGAAATTAGGCGGGTTCAGGAATGCGGGGAATGTCTATCTGCAATCGCATTTTCCTTGTCGGAGCTTTTGGTAACGAACGACCTCGAACCGTCTGAGAAAACACACTTCACCGAAAATCAGGCTAAACGCAGCGGTGTTTTATACTTTGTTTTTCCACAGGTTAACGAAGGTGTTCGTAACCAAGAAAACACCGATCGTTTGGAGTGGCTTCAAGCACACGTCAACCTGGAAAGTATCGGAGAGGTGCGTAATCGGTTTTTATCGGCAACATCCTCTAAAATTTACTGCGATTTACGTTATATGGAGGGGAACCAACTTTTACTATTTGCTCATAAATTTTGCTTGGCTAACTTAAGAGTGGAAAAAAGCATTCGTTTCATTTATAGTCGATAATGACGAAGTTTTTAAGCTTGCAGGGTTGTATTTACCTAATCTGATACATAGAAAGTCCTTACCTTTTCACCTATCATCGTGAGAACGGTTTTAACATTTTTAAATACAAAAATTTTTTTCCTACTGGAAATCCATCTCTTTTAATCGTTTTATTTTTGTCGGTGTTTTTTACTCTACAGCGTTTGTTTTTTAACTCAACAACAAATTGCCTAGGACCACGAAAGCTGTTACACTCTGGAACACTTTGGAAGGTAATTAATTTTTACTATTAGAAGGGGAGTATAATTATGCTAAAAGAATTAACAGTTACTCTCCATTTTCGTTTTCACTGAGTAATCCTTGACATGGTTCTGGTTCAAGTAAATGAAAACGGTAGACAGCAAACGATGACAGAGAGAGCATTTTTATTGGTTAAGCTTACGAAGGCCCATCATTAGCTTTTTAACTGCATACGATTGAGTGGACCCAAGGTTAACCCTCATGGCTCGAAAAGTCTGTTTGCCTAAGTGAGCACTACTTGTTTCGTCCGCCATTTGCTGAGAGCTCAAGACGGAATGGGGTTGACCAGTCAGTTTCCCCGTGAGAGTTTGAGAATTGCGTTCGATCGGCCAATCAGGTTGCTGATAAAGAAAGTGACATCATAGATAACAGCTTTACTAGCCCTCTAATTCTAGCAGTCCCTTTGCTTTTAGATTATTTGTTTGATCGTTAAACCAGCCAAAGTAAGCCAAAAGCTGCGTTGTTCACCTCCGTTTTTAGAACCATTTATGGCTGCCCTTCAATTTGTTAGCTGTTCTTGCGAGTTAACCGACTCATTCCAAGATATGCCTATCTTATTGCAGAACTGATCTTTATATACATTCCGTGATTTCAGGTCAAGAGCGGTAAAGAGCTCAAGGCCTTTCTCTTCAACGATTTCCTCATGTTAACACGACCTCAAAGCTCCATTACCGGAAGTCTATCTAAGAAGATCGGATTCGAGTCAAATGAACAAGACGTGATGTACTCCATATACAGGAAGGTAACTCTACGCTGTTCTACATAACCGTGACCACTGTAGCATTTGCAATGGTTTGAACCTAGGCGTTTGGTCGTAAGTAGGTGGAATATGATTGTCTAGGCGTAGGATAGTTGGTTAAAGTCCTTGTGTCACCAACAGTCTTCTTACCCTGATGATAACATATTAGAACTAGCAAATCAGTGTGCGTACCGTAAAGGACCTAATAAGCGCCCACTTCCAAATAAACGCCTCTTATCTAATAAATGTCCACTCTACGTTGTTAAAATTGTATTAGACGCCCCTCTCTATAAAACGCCCCTGTCTAATAGACGCCCCTCTATGAGAATTACTCCAAGGTACAAGGAATTAGCAAAAGGGAGCAAAATCATTCAATTCATTCAGTTACTTGCCTTATTTACAAGGCTTTGCGTATTTCATCTTGTTCAATATCAAGTTCAAAGTAAGGATAGACTAACGATGGCAGCACAATAACCCTGAGCGAGGATTCTGACATCGATGCCGGAATTTGAAAGAGCGATGTGGATCTCTAGACGGTCTAGACGTATCAATTGATGGATCGGACATTCCGCTATTGTAAAACTATTGCAATATTTTCGCCAAAAGCATATTAGTTCTGTTGAGCTTCTTAGATGTGAGAATAAACGCCTCTCTATCTCCTTCCAACGCCTCCGTCCTATCTATAAAACGCCCCCGCTTAAACCCCTAAAATAAAACAGAAGCTGCGGGCGTTAATTAGGTCATGTACGGTATCCTAAAAATCAAGAGACCTAGCTGGTCTTTCTCTTCTTTATCTACAGCCTATAATCCTGAATGAAGTGATTGTCAAGCGAACTCAGGAGATGAATAGTAAGTTGAAAAACGTAGGGTTTGTGGCCATTTCGCTGTGACCAAACAACGTTGTTGCTGTCTTCTCTAAGTACCAATACTCCCCATTGTCAGGGTACCACAACGTGGCTCCTGTAGCGTCATGTGTATAATGCTGTGGTTTACTTTTATCCAAAGTCATGAACATTCATTGTCATATGGCTACAATAGTACGCGCGCTCTGATTGGCTGTTTTGTTGTAATGACCGTGCATAACTAGCTGGAATCTTGGACAAAATAAATGGAAAACCTAGACCCCCCTCCCTCTCCCCCCAAATCAAAGATGGGAAAATGGCGCGTTTTTGCCTTCGCGCGGCTTCATGCTTGATTTGGGGGGGATGGGAGTTTGCTGTTCCATTTTATTTTGTCCAAGATTGTAGGTGTCCAAGGCATATACAATCTGTGATTAACTTGATATTGGACATCCTTATAGACATCTATGTTATGATCAATGTCACCTGACTGTATCGCGGGCTAAGGTGTACAACTCATTGACGTGAAGTGTTTTTTAAAGTTATCCGCTAAACAGTTGTTGGGTTTAATTGATCGCAGGCTCAGGACCATAATGAAAAGGCCATATAAAAACTTATTAACCTCGTCTGTTCGGTGATTACAAGGAAATCTCAGGTCTCGGTCTGAGATTGCCCTGTAATGACCTAATTCTCGGTTAATAAGTATAGTATTTACCATACCCAGAAACAAAGTACGATAAAATGTAAACCAAGGATAAAATTAAACCACAACATATACGTTTCATAGAAAGAGTGGGTGAATTGATGGTGTGTATGATATCTAGCGTCGGAGAACGATTGATATTGAAGTATTTTTTTTTTCATTTCAGCCGAAGAATATGTGTTTCATATATCGCATATTGATCAGACTTACTCCTTCCGAGCAGAAACAAAAACTGAAAGGTACTTATTGCACGTCATTATTTTATAATAATAATAATAATAATAATAATAATTTTATTTATATAGCGCTAAAATCCAATAATTGTCCAAAGCGCTACCTAATTACAAAATAAAATATAAAAAAATATAAAATATAAAATATCTACAATATACAATATAATTCAAATATAGCCTTAGTTATCTACTATATAAATCAAAAACATCTCAAAACAAAAGGAATCTCATAACCTATATGCTAACGTAAATAAAAAAGTTTTAAGGGATTGCTTAAAAGTTGCCACTGAAACACATTTCCTAATCTCTAGAGGTAAATCGTTCCACAATTTAGGTCCTGCAATAGAGAAAGCTCTGTCTCCATATGTTTTCAATCTGCTTCTTGGAACCAATAAATATTCTTTACATGAAGAACGCAATGACCTAGAGTATGTTTTAAAATTCAAAAGGTCAGAAATATAAGAAGGTGCAAGGCCATGAACCTAGCCGACTAAAGCTATATATTTTATGTTATTAGCTGTACTTTAAAATTATTTTGGAATAGCTAAAGTCTTTGCCCCATCGACCAAATAGTCACAATCGGTATGTTTAGATTTCGAGCCTTCAAATCAAAATCATGTCAGCCTGGAACCAGTCTCCTTGGTGGGGAGAAAGGGAAACATCGGCGAACGAAGGCTTTGTCCCTCGCCATCTCCTCGCGTTTTTACTTCCTCTTCCTCCATAAGCCTGTTCACAGAATCATGTCAAGTGACTATTTCTACCTAACTTTGGCTAGCAATATTACCTAATGCGAGCAAATAAAAACTCAAATGTGAGGTGCCAATAATGCCTTAATTCAACAGAAATCGGTGGATGGAATTGATCGAGAAAGCGTCAGAGACTTACATTGAAACTGAGCGGGAATTAAGACAAAAGGCTCACAGAGGTGCGTTAAGCGATACACATGTCCACCAGTCTGTCTACCTGTCTCTCTGTATGTCTGTTAGCCTGTCTTTGTGTCCGTCTGTCTGTCTGTCTACGTGCCTGCCTGCACGTCTGTCTGTGTCTGCCCGTCTGTCTCTCAGACTACCTACCTGCCTTTGTGTCTGTCTGTGTCTGTCTGTCTGTCTTTTTCTGTCTGCCCGTCTGTCTTTCTGACTAGCTACCTGCCTGCCTGCATGTCTGTCTGTGTCTGCCTGTCTGTCTTTCTGACTACCTGCCTGTGTGTAAGTCTGTCTGTCTGTTTGTATGCCAATGTGTGTCTAAAAAAACGAATAATTGCTCTTAAATTTTCTACTTGTGTGGGTGTATTTTATTTAACCTTTTCGCCATTCATTTTGTTAATCCTTAGCGCGTTCAATCAAGACCGGAGGAATAGGAAAACTCAAAGTCACTTTTATAGAGGGTGTTGATTTAATTGCCTCTGATCCAAATGGTGAGTCCTCAGTTGAGAGAGTTTAGTCACTGCTTAAGTAAAACGCATTTGCAAGGTAAGTCTACTAGAAAATCTAACGAACGCATAGGACTGGAGGGCCTCAAAAAAACGTACCTACGGGGCTAAAAGCACTTCTGGAAAAGAACTGAATTTAAAAGCCCGCTCGCGTGGCAGTAGCCTGAGAAAACAGCCGACATTTGGCGACGCTACCACTGGTTTCCCCGCCAAATGACATCTGAGAAACTATACCCAGATCTGGGTAGTGCGTCTGATTGCTTGAATCAAATTTCCCACGCGGCACGACCAATGAAAAGCACTACCCAGATCTGGGTAGTGACGCGTCATCAGTATGGAATTTCTGAGCTCGTTTCTCAGACGTCATTTGGCGAGGAAACTACTGGTAGCGACGCCACGTGTCGGCTGTTTTCTCAGGCTAGCGTGACAGGAGCATGCAAGGTAGTCCCATTCTCCTCTGTAGCCGTGCAAGGTATAGAATGTCTGAGTATGAGGTTTTGCAGCGAAATGAATTGTTGATGTGTGTCTTGGTTATCAATTAATGATATGCAAATAGTTGTATAAAAGTGAGCAACCGCCTTGTACTCGTCTCCTGTTCCCTGTATCAAAAGGTTGGCGCTGCGCCCAGTCTTCCGCGAGGAAGCCGGTGTTAAGTCATGAATAATAATACCTAGGATAATAATTACACTTTATGAGCCTAAACAGTACTACAAGAAAGTAGTATGCAGTAGCTTTCATTTGAATAGTCTCATTTTGAGATCTGTAACTAATTAACAAGTTTTTCAGGGGAAAGTCACTGCTCATTTGCTTCCATTATTTACTTTGTCCATTCTCTAGTCAAATCAAATCCGCGAATTGAGCAAAGTCTCGTTTCCATACAGAACATTAACTACGGCGGCGCTATTTTTTGTATAATTGTTTCTAAATGGTCTTTTTATGTAGACAATTCTATTATCGCTACGAGCAATTTTTTTCTTTTGTGTCAGATCAGTCAGACGTTGGTCGCCACCTTACAGCGGTTGGTCGGCTATCTGATAAGAAATATAAAAGCTTTATACTTCTTGGTCCATTTCCTAATCAAAACACAACGATAAAGTCTGAATTCCTTGGAGAACAATGACCACGACATTAATTTCTAAACCTAAACACCCGCTGGATATATCACTTGTACAACTGAACACCAAGCACTCTGTAATAACTTTAATTTTCTTGACCTCCATTTAACAGCCAACAACTCCTTAAAAAAAACGAGTTAAAGTTTGTTTTTGAATGTCGCAAACAATTGGCCAACATTTGACAAATTGAACGAGATGGAATAATCGCGATAAAGTTTGAAGCGGAACGAATTCACTTTTCAAGCGACGTTTTCGTAACCATCGCCGTTGTTGTTGCTTAAGCTCCCTATATTCGGCGTCGTATAAGCGCAATCGAAATGCTGCTTTCGCTAGATCACAACCTCCAACGCCTTTAAAGACGATTAGAACTCCCACTCCATTCTTGAGTCGGCGCTTGCGTTTGTGTTTGCATTTGCCTTGAGCCATTTCACACGTGTATTTCCTTGAGTTTGCATTTGTGTCTCAAGCCCGGGGGAATCCGCATATGAAAGGAGTGGGGATATATATATATATTGTCTGTGTTTTACCATGGTCTCTTTTAAGGGTCCAAAAAACCTTGAGCCACGCCCAGATTGGTCTCCTTTAGGGGTTTAATTCAAAATTTCCGACGAGTATCCCCACCCCTTTCATATGCGAAGCCTCCCCCGGGGTCTCAAGTTTGAACCCAGCTTTAGTTTCAACACGTTCTTCTTATTATTTCATTTGATTTGTCACACTTTAGGATTTTATTCCCTGACTCAAAAGTTAAGCACCTCAACGGACATAACGAATAGTACAAAAGAAATGTATTTTCCAAAAGTTCTTAATTGATTAGTTAGTCTTATTTCGATCAGAAGTACAAAGCCCTGCTTTTAGCTGTCATTTGAATTTTATCTCCCGACACAAGCGTTAGACAGTCTTAATGTAATGCATTTTTGTTAGGATGTGAAGTGTTCCATTTGAGTTTATGAGCTTTTTTTGCAACCCAAATTGCACGAAAAATACAACTTTGAAATCCTCTTCTAATTATATTATACCTATTATCGGAACCTTTTGTAGTTGGCACGACATGCAGCGTTGATTTAGGTTAATGAAAAAAAAAACACTTTTATTTTCCAATTATCATTCGCAACACGTCGTTAACACCAGACACAATGGCAAGTGTTCCACAGTCGATAATAGTTTTTAATCAAAATTCAAAATGTTTACAGTTGATAGATGATATTGCCTCCGAAAAGCAATTTATCGGTCTTAGAAAAGTTAGGATATAGTTAGTATGAGTTGCCTTTACATGACCGATTGCTTCTGTGTTCTGAATGTATACGCTTAGAATTGTTTTGCCAATCAAGCGATCTCGAGGAAAACCATACCCGAATTACATTAAAACGGATCATTTCATATAATCTGGAGTTACGTTTATCAAAGATAGAGACCAAAGAAACACTATCTTAAGAACTGGCGTTTATTTGTTATGTACACATATCTGCTACGTGGAATATTTCAAAGCACTTTGCAGATAAGGGCATGAACGACAACAAGCAACGCGTCTGATATGACACTGAGCGTTGGTCAAAGTGCCGTTTATTTGTCATGTACACATATCTGCTACGTGGAATATTTCAAAGCACTTTGGAGATAAGGACATAAACGACAGCAAGCAACGCCTCTAATATGGCACTGCGCGTTGGTCAAAGGGCTGTTAGCATAATTTTCCTAGTATTTAGACTTGATATTTGTTTTAGTATATGCATTGGATTATATTTAAGTAACCAGGCGAAAAAAAATCGTGCTTATTTGGGAGATCGCTTCAATCAATAGTTTCTAAATACCGGCCGTTTTTTTTTTTTTTTTTTTTTCGTAGTTGTTGTTGTTCAATTTACGACATGTAGGGCTTGTCATTTTCTTAATAATTAGGATTGACAAGTTAAAGGAATGGGTTTTTTCCTTGTAGAATCCTCTGCTAATAAGGCGTGTTTTTAGAATACGATTTTTAATATGATTATGTCTTGCAAGATTTTCGACGGTCTCAAATTTGGATTTAAGTAAATCAAAAACCCCACATGCATCGTTATTTAGTGATTTCGTCGATGTAGTTCTTTAGTCCTGGTAAATTATATGCAGACTCAACGTAAGGTCAGGTGCGTAACAAACGGAGTTTTATCTCTTGTAAAACCTCTTTAAATGCTTTTCTGTAATTTGAGCTACCGACAGCGTAGGTAATCGGATTAATACTCGAACTACAGTAGACTAAAAAATAGGAGATCTTATAGAACGTGTTTTCCTGGGGAATGTCAGTGGCCGTGGCTATCGCATAAGGGAAAAAGCAAAGCACAAATACGATTGTTACTATCAACAACATTGTGACGATCCTTCGTTTAATCATTGCGTCAGTTTCATCTCCTGTATTCGCGTTCGATGAGCATATAGTGTTGGTAAAGTACATCCCCCTGATGATACTAAAATAGCACACGGTCATGGTTATAAAGGCGGTTGTTATTATAACAGCGAGCACAATCCAGTAAGCGTTTGCATTTGTCGAAGAGGTTGGCCACAGTGTCGCGCAACGCTTTCTTTTCTCGTCGAATGTCATAAATACGAAGAGCGGGGTGACGTAAGCGATGGCGAAAACCCAGATTACCGCAATAACGTAGACGACATTGTCTTTGTTTAAGCGAGAAGGCGTCTGTAACGCGCGCACCAGCGCTTTGTAGCGTTCTACGGAGATTAAAGTGAGCGTTAGTCCAGACACGATCATGCCTACACCTCCAATGCTGTGTGTAGTGATGAATTTACACAGGAAGCTACCGGTTTGTCCACTCGGATGTGTAGTGTAGGCGAGAAACGTCCCTGGCATACACCACACAAGGGTAAGAAGGTCAGCTATGGCCAGATTAACAAGAAGGAAGTTCATTGTGGAATGCATGGATCTCTTTTTCCGAACCACGTGTATAACTAGCGAGTTACCGCAGATACCAACCAGTACTATAATGCTATATGCTGTGACAAGTACTGCGTTAGCGCTGTCAATCCGCATTTTAAGATACTCCATCACCTCCAGCGTTCGCTAGGTCTAATACGTTTCGCAACTGCGTTGAAGCAATTTTGATAGTGTGTTATACTTCAGTATTGATTTTCCAGTCGATCCTCTCTCTACTATCTCCTTTTAATTCCGAGGTTTGCATTCACCTTTAACAAAGATTAATCTCCGGTCTTGCTTACTTTGTTCAAAGTATCAGAGCGTAGTTTCGATATCAGTTGTTGCGCAACTCGTGTTAGTTCTCAGTGTTTTGTTCTTGGTATACAACTGTATTTGTCAATTTTAGTCAGCTCTTGATTTTAGACCTGAGCGGAATTCTTCGGAGCCCCTTCTTCTACTCGCCTTGTATAAAGTTGTTTTCCAGTGTCATTCAGCGTTTTATTCGTTTAACGACTGGAATCAATTGCTGAAAATTTTCATCCCGTCACACTCAGCATCTGGCAGCTGTTATTGACCATTCAGGATCTTTATTCGTTTCCCAGTTGAATAAAAGTCTTGATCTTTTTCGTAGTATTTACCTTTGTGTACTTTTCTACAATTAATTAGAACGGTTGACAGCAGTTGAATTATGAGCTATACTGAGAGGCGTTCGTCAAAGATTTCTTTGGAGTTTAATCTTGAAATCCCGCGATCTTTAGCCGAGATCCTTTTAGTTTTGAGCAGTGCGTTGAATAAGTATCAGTTTTGACCTAGAAAAACAGCCGAATGAAAAAGCATACAGTTAAAATCGTTGGAAATGAATTAAAATATTTAAGTAGTCATTAAAGAGGCGGATATTTTGGTCATCAACCTTTTCAAAATTGTGCTTTGCTGACGGAGACCGCCATTGTCTTTCACCCAAAACCATTAAGTTAAAGTTTCGGGTTTATATTTTTCACCAAATGTTTATACTCACTGTTGTCATTGTGTTTGCCCAGCTTCCTACACCTTTCAAAATAAGAACCATATGAATATAAGATGTCTTTTAAGTTCTTGTTGCTTCAGGCGCAAGTCATTATTTTACTAAGACTGACTTCCGAATGTAGCGACATATATGAGGGACACAATACTCCTTGATTTAAAATTTTAAAATGACTTAAAAGAAAAAAATGCACATCTATCCACTTTCCCAAGGTCAAGTACAGCAGAAAGAACCGCAAACTTGTTGAACCTTTGCAGACCGAAACATGTCCAGGATCCGTCAAGACTTAAATTCATGTATTTGCTTTTGAATACTTAAGACTCTCGAACTGCGTAATTGTTTAATGGAACATCTCTCTGTTTTAAATACTGTGCTTGTTTAATTGCCATGGTTATTAATGCTGTTATTGCTCTTGGCTAACCCAAGTCACAAATGTAAAACTAAATGCATTCGGTCTGGGTTTAGTTGTTTACTGACGGTTCTTAACCTTCTTGCTCGGAAGTTTTTGTATACGTTTTTTTCTTGACACACTCCTACTCCGCCAAACGACTGAAGTGTCTCGAAGTAATCACGTTCAAAACCGCAATGAGATTGAACCTGATTGCAGCAAAATACGTGTCAGAATTTGATATGGTTTTATCTCATTGTAATTAGAAGATTACATGCTTGTCGAATTTCCCTTTCTTTAAATAATATATGTTTTTTTGAAGACGGAGAGCAAGCTGCCCATATGTTACTATTGGCATTCCCTTTGTATTAAATATGCAACAGATTTAGAATGCCGTTTAAAGAAAACGGTAAGTATCAGATTGAAGTTGACAATTCTTTCAGATCATGTGAATGAGCAGACTGTGTACTGTTGACTGTATACTCTTCAATATAATCCTTATGGATGAACCTGATATGAAGCTACTTATTTTTATGACGACAAGCACTTTCTCAGATTTGTAAGTATTATTTTTGAACAAGTGATATATACTTCGGACACTGAGAATTGCGCCAGAAACTTATCATTAAAAGGACATCAACGCTGAAGGCACAGATACATGCTTTATACCATTGCAAATCCACCTTCGCATTTGTATTAAAAGAGAACGGTGGGGCGAAAAAAAGGCGTTTTATAGTGAGTAATCGACATTACTAACTCAATTGATAATACTTGTACGACAATTTTGTGCGTCATCAAGCTCTAGTTCAAGGTTACTGATGTCCCAGATCAGCTGATCAGATCAAATTCTTGATATATACTGGCTTGAGTTTCGAACACTTATGTCGTAGTGATGTGCCTACGTACTTTCACTATTCCCTTATCTTCAGTTGCATCCGCAAGGAAAAGTCTGAAGGAAGGAATGTTAGGAATAGAGAAAATGTTTATTTCCTCTTTTATTATTAATAATATAACCAATATAACTTGGCTTCACACTAGAACTCTCAAGTATAATCTAAGAATACTTGATTTGAGGGTGAAGGGGTGAAATGTACTTGCTTAAACTTTACTTTGACCATGGAAGCGTTCGTAGCTCAAAGATGCCGAAGTTCGCCGCCAAGTATGGGCTACACCACACTTGAGAACGCACTTTATCAATAAGAAATGGAAGCCATGCATGTGCACGATGTGCACGTGCAGCGGTTTGAAGATTCTAATGAACGGAGAGTTGACCGCTTTTCCTTTATGTAATATACTTTGTCAACAAGTGTGAAGCCAGCCTCCTCCTCAGGCGCTTCGTTTTTCGCAAGGTAGAGGCAAGCGACTGGTGATGAGCCGCAAGGGACCATGGGAAGGGTACAAACGCGCGCGAGAGAGAGACGTCTGGGTACGAGGCAGGTGTGAAGCCATGTTTTCTACAGAGCAACTTAGGATTTTCAAGTGCACTTGAATGAAGTGCTTACTTGAAACAAACTTAGCTTCTAGTGTGAAGCCAAGTATTGTAACCGGCTATATCATTAAGTGTGACCAAACAACTAAAACTGAACTGAAACTAAAACTATAATCTATTCAGTTTGTAGTCTTGCATTTCTTTTTCACTTCAGAGCTCTTTAGGATTATGAAATGTAAACAGAGGTTACGTTTTACTCAGCCTGACGAAAGCAACAGCTTGTAAAATGTTCAAACAACCTTCCTTAAATGAATACAAGTGATCAAACTTTAACCGCAGGTCAGTGGTATGTCCACTGCGATGTAAGTTGTAAAACTTTTGAAATAAGGCAACCATGTTAAGTCCTAGGTGAATAAAATATAAAGAACATTTTGCAACTTGGGCAAAAGCGTCTCAAAGGAGAGATGACAGATGACGAGTCGCGTAAGCGATGTTGATAAGCTACAGCCGCGTGAAAAGCACGCGTTTGCGATACTTGCCTTAGTATAAAATATGTATGGCTAAAGTTTCTTGCGCTTTCTAGCTTGCTCTTCATCATATGCCCCACGAAAGAAACAGTTCACAAGCTAGGAAAAGTTGCTTGAAAAATACTGATTGAAATGGGTCTCAACCGAATTGAAGCAATGGAGGGTCGCAAAAGCAAACATTTCAATGTAAATTAAAACAGTGATAAAATGCAATAATATTAAAATTACTTTCGGACTATAAATTTGCTTGGATACAGTTTGCTTCCAAAATCAATGTTTCAATTGCTGGGTTTGTACTTAATTTGATTTTCACGCCTTAAGAAGACTATATGGAATTAGAATAACATAGAGGTTTGTAAAATATGATTGTAAGGAGCGACTTAGAAAAGAAACGTTCACTAACTTTCGACTGATTTAATATCCACTAATGTTTCAGTGATCAACAAACTCAAACGATTAAACCATACTCAAGCAATATGTTAAAAGTGGCACAAGAACTACAATAAAAATAGCTCTACCTGAATGAAATGCTTCTTGGCTGTACATAGAGCCGCCTTCGACAACCACAAACGTGAGACTTTCACCTGTGCACAGACTCGAAAGTTCCATGTCCAAGTGCTGCTATTAAACTTAACAATAATGCGCCACCCGTAATATTAGACTACCAGTCTACTTAGTTCGACCTGTCGGCCCCTAATAGGTTCAATTCTCAGTTTTCACTCACGTGAGAAAGGCGAAATAAAAATGGAAACCTTTTAATACAGAAAGTCTAGAATCTGGGAAATGAAAGAAGATAAATATACAAAAAGCCTTGCCAAGAATCAGGTCTATGCAATAGTCCATATGCGAGATATTCGGAAAAATGTTTTACCCAAATTTATTAAATAAAGCTTTGTATGGAGACGCCATGTTTGTGTCCCTTTCAGGGGCACAAATATGGCCGC